AAAGGGGTGGGCCCGAAAAAAGGGGGGGGGGGGTTGTTTTTTTTTTTTTTTTTTTGGGGGGGGGGGGGGGGGGTGTCGGGAGTCGGCGGCAGCGGTGAGGGGCTCGAGCCGGCGGCAGGGGCGGGAGCCGCCCGTAGGCTGAGGCGAGGCTAAGGATGCGGCCGAGGAAGCTCCCACTCTACAGCTGTGGCTGGAGCATCACCCTCACAGCCGTAGCAGCAGCATGCCTCCTTCTGGCAGATGGAGTGAGTACGCGAGCGATCCGATAAGTACCGCAGACGAATGACTTACACCGAAGAGTTCTGGCTCCCACACTCCCACCGCTCCCACTACGGCCGAAGTACAACTCACTCTGCCTTTAAACCCTGTCTTCTTTGTGCACTCCCTGTCTTTCGTTTCACCACAGAGCAAACCCATAGCCTCCGTGGGTAGTGTGAGCAACCGTGAATACTAATTTGAATCCCCGACAGGGTGAGGGACCCCACCCTCGCCGCTTTGTGATGTCTGGCGGCAACCCTGAAATCATCGGGCCCCAACCTCACACGCCTTGAGGACTTGCAGGATTTGAGTCCAAACGCTTTTTTGAATTCTCAGCCCCGATGGCCACCATTCATCAGCTGAAAAGCCGGGGCACCCTGGAGGATTCCGTCTCCCTCAAGGTGCAGGCGCATCACACACTGGGGGCCGTGCGCCCGCCGCCGCCATCCAACTAATTCAGCCGCCGCCTGCGCCTTGCAGGTGGCGGGAGAACTGCGTATGGACAACGGCAAGATCAAGTGTCAGCTAACTGATGGCAAAGAAAACATTCAGACGTGCGCCCGTGGCGCGCTGGGCGGGCAATGCCGGGGAAGCCAACGGGGTGACCAGTGACACAACCTGTGCCGCTGCGTGCAGTGTGTTCACCTCCCAGATGGCCCGTGAGTTCGGTGGTGAGCTGAAGAGCGAGTCTTTGGTGCGCGTTCACGAGGGAAGCATCAGCGCAATCGGCGATAGCCATGTCCTGATCGTTGCCAAGGCTGAGCTTCTGCAAGGCGGCCCCGGGGCGGCCGGCGAGCCTGCCAGCGGGGCCGCCGAGGTGGCCAAGCAGGAACCGGTGTCGATGCAGATAGAGGCAGCAAAGACGCCAGCAGCCGCACTCAAGAGTTCCGCAGCGCTGAGCAAGAGCTCGCCCTGCATCACACCCGCCAGCCATCCCACCCCACCGTCGGCCGGCTGGTGCGTGATGCATGCCCCTAGGGGAGTTGCCGGGCCACAGCCCACTGCGATGCATCGAGCTGCCTGTGTGTGTGGTGTACAATTGACTCTTCCCTGCCGCCAACTGCATGCAGGGGGCAGAAAATGGGGTCCGCAACCAAGCGCCCGCTGCAGCCCATCAGCGCTCTGAACCCCTACAACAACAATTGGGCAATCAAGGCCAAGGTGGTGTCTAAAGGCTCAAAGCGCAGGTATGCTGATGCATCCCAATGCCGGTGGCTCTGCTGGTAGCAGCTGTCTCACTGCACGCTGCACATAGTAGCTACTTGCACTGCACCAGAGCCAACCTGGCATTGGCTTGACGACGGCCCCCTGGTGCCCATGGCGTCAACCGCAGCTTCTCACGTGGCAGCGTGTTCAGTGCGGAGGTCGTCGATGAGCAGGGGACCACCATCGAGGCCACCTTCTGGCGGGAGGCAGCAGACCACGCGTATGAGCTGCTGGAGGAGGGCAAGGTGCACTCTGAACCCACAGCCCACCAGCTGTGTTGGCCAACCCTCACCCGGCCTGACCATGTTGTTGGCGGCCGGCTGCATTTATTCGAAATGCTCGCACATTAATCGACCACTTCAAACTTTGGCAGTCGTGGTCATGGCAGCACTGCAGCTTGTGTTCTGTTCCTTGGTCAGCTTTCTCTGCTCCTTGGCCAAGGCGGCTTAACTGCTTCCTGCATGGTGGTGTTCATGACCTGCAGGTATACATTTTTGGCCGCGGCAATGTGAAACCTGCCGACAAGCGCTACAGCCGCGTGCGCAACGACTATGCCCTGCATTTTGACACCGCCTCGGAGTTGGAGAGCTGTGGTAAGAGCCCACACTTAAGGCCTCCTTTCTCGCTGTGCTGAAGGCCGGTGAAGAGTTGCCAGTTAGCATGTGCTGGGCTTGCTCTTTGCCACATGCAGCCGATGACATCGACACCAGCAAGATGCATGTCAAGATGGAGTTTGTGCCAATTGAACAGCTGGCTGCGTTTGTAGACAAGAAGGTGCACAGGGCAGCCCCATGTCTTTCCCTTCCAGCAGTGACTGTCGTGCAAACAAAGAGGCGACACATTATGTTTGCTGGTGCAGATGATGGTGGATATCGTTGGGGTGGTGATGGATGTGAAGCCCCTGGGCAGTGTGAAGCGCAAGACGGACCAGGTGGAGCTGTCGCGGCGCGACATCACCCTGGTGGACCAGAGGTAAGGGACTGTTGAATCCTATGTCGGCATGCGCCTCTTTCTTACATGCACTGTATGCATGATTGCAGCCTCAAGACCGTCGTGCTTACGATGTGGGGCAACGCAGCCGAGGCCGCAGGGCGAGAGATAGAGGAGCTTGTGCAGCAGGCGCCTGTCGTGGCCATCACAGCCTGCCGTGTGTCCTCCTACAATGGCGTCTCAGGCACGTTGCTGGGAAGCTGTCATGCTCGCTGCATGCTCAGGCGCAGCAGCAGCTGGCAGCACCCAAACTTCCGCTGTTTTGCATTTGAACTGTGCTGCCTCTGGCCGGTGCCCCCTACTTTCTGTTACTGCTTCCCCTGCCCGTGGTGCAGTGAGCAGCCTGCAGCGCAGCGCTGTTCTGATCAACCCGGACGTGCCTGAAGCAGTGGCGCTTCGGCAGTGGTACGACTCTTCGGGACGCGGCGCTGCCATGTCCCACGTCGGCGAGGGCCTGGCCACTGCGCTCAAGTAAGCCACGACCATGTCAAAATGGCAGTGGGCCACTGCCTTGATCAGTTTCACCGTTTCACCAGATGCACCAATGTATTTTCTGCCAGAGTGACTCCCACCCCCAACATGCTTTCAACTTGCCTGCAGGCACAGCGGCTCGAGTGCCGGGCAGGAGCGTGCCTCGCTGGAGCTCTTTCGGGCGGCGGCACCAGCTACAACACAAGACAAGCCACACTATTCCACTGTCACAGGTGCCTAATCCTGCAGCAAATGCGGCGGTGCTCTTGGCACTATGAGTTGTCTCGCCTGCCTGCTTTTATCGGCAATGCCCACCCATGCTTTGCAGCCACTTTTGCCATGGTCAACCCCGATCAGGCACTGTTCTACATGGCCAACCCTGAGAACAACAGGAAGGCAAGCACGACGGCGCCGCGTCTCTGCCCTGGTTTCATGGGGTTGCTTTGCGCTCTTTGTGTGTTGGTAGAGCCCAATGGGGGATGCTACTGTCAGTAATAACTGCGCCCTGGGCACACCCATCCGGCAATTCAGGTTGTGGAGCAGGGGCCCGGCCAGTACTTTTGCGAGTACGATGGCACCACCCTGTCCTCGATGGTGCGCCGCTACATCTTCAATGCCAAGGTCATGGATGTGAGCGGCGAGTGCTCGGTGCAGGTGTTCAATGAGCAGGTACGTGTGGTGCCGAGTGCGGTTTGTGGTGCTGCCTGGAGCCTGCCTTGCTGTCAGCTGCAGAGCACTGCAACGCTCACCGCGGTGCCCATTGCCCTGCTGCTGCAGGCGGAGCAGCTGCTGGAGATGAAGGCCGATGAGCTGGCCGAGCTGCGCGAGACAGGTGCGGATGGACGAATCGATTCGCTTAGAACAGCGCGCCCAGGGTGTCATCTGGCGCAGCTGCTGGCTGCTGAGCATTGACTAACTGGTGGCTGCAGATGCCAAGCAGTTCCAGGAGGTGCTCAAGTCGGTTCTGTGGAAGGACAACGTGCTGCGCCTTAAGGCGCAGGCGCAGGTGAGGAACACCCTGCGCTGTGTTTTGTGGTTGTGCCAACAAGCATCTCCCTGTTTGCATGCATCCGCCTGTTGGGAGAGGGCGCCACGGCCCAATGCGCGTGCTGCATTGACGCTGTGTAGGAATATCAAGGTGAGGTGAGGCAGCGCTACGCCATCGTTGACATCAAGCCATTTGCGTATGCTGAAGAGTCCAGGCGCCTTCTCTCGATTCTCGTTTGATGTTTATCGGTGATATGTTACATGCGGGAAACGGGGGCTAGTCAGATTCGAGCGTGGTGCACGAGCGAGGCAGGCATGCGCTGGAGGTTATTTAGTATCTGCAGAGGGCACTGAAGGGTGCTAGAGGGCGGCTACGTCCTCTGTCCTCTGTCTGGGTCCTCTGTGTCGTCCTGCAGTGGCAGCGGTGTTGGGCTGGGTGTTGGGCTGGGGTGCCGCCAGAAAGGAATGCAGTCCCAAACTCATACCGTGACGCTGGTACCAGTGAGAAGGGTTTCAAAGTGCTGGCTAAAGAGTGCCATGGGCCAGCTGGGCTTTTTCTTTTCAAGAAACGATCAAGAGGGGAGCCGTGCAGGCACCCTTCAAATCTGAAGCGGCCCTTCAGTTGCGGCGATGTCTGTAACGTTGCGGGTGCCCGCTCATGCGCCTCCGGGTGGCTGGGCGTCACACGTGCGTTCTGTGACGTGAGGGCGCGGGCGGATTCCATCCGCGTGCCTCAACGCTGATCGATAACTTCCGGGACAAGACCCCATGTGCCCGACGGTTGGCAAGCATCCTGGCTGACATTTGGGCCCATTGAACAGAACTGCAGGCCCTGCACTCGCTCCAAGGCGTGGGGCAGTTTGGCCTGGGCCACTTTTTCTTAGGGAGCTGGTGAACCTTGGACCACAGCCTTTCACTGGAGCGCTGCAGCGGGATGCAGTTGAGACCTGGCGGCAGCGGCAGCAGCATGCCCCCATGCCGCCGCCGACGACGACGCATCTTTGTGTCGAACATGCACTACCCTTAATCACACGCATCACAATCTTCTTATCGGTCCAGGCACGCTGCACAGTTACCCCCGCTCGGGCTGCAGTTACCGGCGCCCTTTTAGCAAAACACTTGGCCTGAAAACAGGCCGATGCCCCCCCACGAAGCCAGCCTCGTGGTTGATGGCCATTTGCCTGAGCTGCGCTTGCACCCGGCGATCAAAGCCGCCTGCCGGCGCTTGCTGCCGGGTTGGGCGGAGTGCTTTGAAGAAGACGTGGAGATCGGCTTCATTGCCGGCGGCATCAGCAACGCGCTGTTCAAAGTGGCGCCCGCCCTACCGCCGCCCGAGGCGCCATCTGAGGGGCGGCGCGCCGTGCTCCCGCCCGTGGCCTTCCGCATATACGGCGACAACACGGAACAGTTCATCGACCGCACCAGGGAGCTTGCCTTGATGCAGCTGGCACACGAGCACGGTTTTGGGCCGCGGGTCCTGGCGACGTTTGGCAATGGCCGCATAGAGCAGTTCCTGCCTATGCGCTCGTTACAGGCGAGTCATGTTTTGCGTTGGTGATCCGGGATACATCACATTTGCGTACTGCAAGCAGCAGGCGGCAGAAGTGGGGTACATCCCGGCTGTCCCGCATATGCAGCCCGAGGAGCTGGCCGGCCCCGAGTTTGTGCCGACGATTGCTGCCTCGCTGCGCCGCTTCCATGACATCCCCGCGCCGGTGAGATGCCCTGTGAATCGGTATGCATGGATGGTGTGCCACCAATCTGACCTCTATCGTCGCCATGCAGGGTGTCAGAGAAGCCCGCACCCCCTTTGCACGCATCTTTGAATGGCTTGATATTGCAGAGACATTTGTATTTGAGGCACCGCAGGTATTCCACTTCCCAGTTGCCTGCGTGTCTTATGTTGGCTTTGGTAATCAGATTGAATTTGATATATGTCTATGACGGCGCCCGGTGGCCCACCCCGAATTGTCACGCTGGGCTTGCAGCGGCAGCAGGTGTTTGCCAACTTTGATTTCGCAGCCATGAGAGCAGAGGTGCAGACGGTGGAGGCTGCCGCTGCTGCCATGCACTCGCCCGTGGTGTTTGCCCATAACGACCTGCTGTCAGGTGGGGCATAGTCGGCATGCATTGAGCTCGCTGGGCATACATGCTTTCCCCTCCTTGTACAACAGCACTGATTGCCTGCTGTTGCTGTCACCAGCAGGCAACATCATGGTATCGCTTGCATCCGAGAACAGTAGCACCCGTCCTGGGGTTGCCAGCTCAAGATATGCCTCGCACGGCGACACCAGCACATCGGCTGGTCAAACGGGAATGACATTCATTGACTTTGAGTATGCTGACTGGGCACCACGCGGCTTTGACTGGGGCAATCACTTCTGCGAGTGCGTCACTTGAACTTGCAGTTCGTGGTGCCACACACAGGATGTCGAAATGGACTCCTGTCATCCTGTCGTGGAGAGCAGGAGGGTATACTGACAGGAGAGTTGAATTGCATGTATGGTGCAGGTACGCTGGCTTTGAGTGCGATTACACGCGGTACCCCACGCACCAGCAGGCAGCACGCTTTATTCAGCACTATTTTGCGGGAGGCAGCCACGATCGCTTGACATCAAAGGTGCGAACCAAGCAATGCATGCCAGGACAAGTTACCGTCGCACGTGCCTTGACCATAGGAAGAGCGTGCAGTTGGCAGCATGGCTAAACATGATTTAATGGTGTGGTTGTCCACCACACACCAACCACCGCTCACCGTTGCTGCCCTACAGGAGCCTGCGGTTGTTGCACATTGCGTAGCGGAGGCAAACGTGTACGCTCTGGCATCCCACCAGTTCTGGGGCACCTGGGCCCTGCTTCAGGTGGTTTGGCTCATTGCAAGCTCGCCCAACAAACTAGTCCAAAGAATTGGGGCTGCCGCCTGTGCAGGCCAAGTGGAGCAGCATTGATTTTGACTACCTTGCCTATGCAAAACTGCGCTGGGAGGAGTACCATCGGAGGAAGGATGAATTCCTGGCGCAAGCCAGAATCTAACTGCGTAGCGCCGGACAACGTTCGGTAATCATGAGCGGGCCGCCCGCTCCGGCCATGCCTCCCACTCAGCAAGATCTGCAGCTGTCAGATGTGGCTGGATGGTCCCCAACGCGAATGTAAAATGCCGGGGGTGAACGCGACGCGCTACACAACAGCACAACAGCTGCTGGGTATAGAGGAAACCATCGGCCGGGTAGGAATGGAATGGTGTTGCTCTCTCACCAGCACAACCACTTACCTCCCTCAATATCTTCTCGCAAAGCGGCCAGCGCCGCCTCCCTACACACTGCTGCCAGCTCAGCACCTACAGAACATGGCGGGGTTCGATGCCGCCTTCAGTCGCTAAAGCACTCAACATCAGCAGCCGCCGGTTGCATAGTGCCTGCTCCAGGGACAAGAACAACCAGTGCGTCGAACGACAAAGTGGCTTTGCCTGTGAAGCAGTCTGTGCATGCTGCTATAGTAGCCAAGTTAACGTCAGCCGTGAGTGGAATCTTGCGGGTATGAATCTGCATCAGTGGACATTGTAAATCGAACTTTGCCTTAGGACACACATGCCAACACACCCACCCACCCACCCATACAATTATGTCGTAATGTCCCCCTAGAGCAAACTTGAAATTGAGCATGTGCTGACCTGGAGGGCCTGTAGCCGGCCCAGCTCATCCGGGGGCGGCACATACAGGATCACATCAAAACGCCCTGGCCTGAATGAACAAAATGAAGTGGAGGTTGTGAGCCTTTAGTCCAGCATTTGCTAAACATAATACCAGCACGGGTGCAACTTGCCTTATGAGAGCAGCATCAAGTGCTTGGGGGCGATTTGTGGCACCCATCACCAAAACCCCCTGTGCCAGCTCCAGGCCATCCATCTCGGTGAGAAATGAAGAGAGCACACGGGCCGTTACGTCGCTTGCAATCTCGCGGTCCACACGCTTGCCTGAAACAAGTAGAGAATTTTGGCTGAAACGAGTTCCCAGCGCGCCAAACAGGTGCAAACGTTTGGCGCAGCTTTGTTGGGCCTGGTAACTTGATCACGCTGATCGTGAACCAGCTTGGCCTATAATACACATATACATGTTATACAGGTGGAAACAGGTGCTGCCAGTGCATCAGACTACTTCAGATTACGCACCCACAAGCGAGTCGAGCTCATCAAGGAAAACAATGGAAGGTGCGACAAGCCGCGCCCGCCTGCACTTGCCATTACTGGAATGCACCATGTGCTTCAAACAGGGCTGAGACGGGCTCGGCCGCTGTCCCACACGCCCACCGAGACCACGGTCTCCCAATCCGCTTGCCTGAAAGTTTCGCGAAGAATGGCCTCGCCCTCACCAACATGCATGCTGTAGAGCTGCGTTCCTGCGGCAAGTATTGGTGCACTTTTAAGTATCGCAATAAAATGGGGATGTGGCAAGCTGAACCCGTTGAACTTGCTAGCCTGAGAGAGGAATTAGCGTAGCACCGCTTGCGGTTGCAGCGGCCCTGACCAGCGTCGTCTTGCTGCACCCAGGTGGGCCATGCAACAAAACACCCCTGCAAAAGAACAGGGGCACTGCAGCGTGGTAAGAGGAGACGACTGGCTGTTGTTGGTGTGCTTCTGAAAACAAGTGAGGCTGGCAGCCAAGCCAACGCACCTCGGTGGCGACAATCCCAGTCGCTCAAAGGCGCCAGAGTGCCTCAACGGCCACTCCACAGCTTGTCTGCAGCAGAAACAAGATGATCAGTACACATGATGCATACTGTTTGTGCACCTGCTTCGGCAGATGCACGGCCAAAGCCGGGGCCGGTCGCACTTCAGCTGTTGTTTCACTGCACTCAGCCCCCCAATGTCGTCCCAGCTGCAACAGGACAAAGACAAATGTAACTATGCAAAGTAATGAAGGAACAACTGCAATAATGCGCAACATGCAAACTGCAGCAACCAGTGAACTGCCGGCGACCGCGGCGCACTTGATGGGCCTGTACTCCACAGCAGCCCCTCTTGCCATCGACGGCCCCACGCGCTTCATTGCAGCAACAAAGTCATCGGCTGTGACGAGTCGCATCATGCTGCGAGGTGCAGTATGTAAAAACTCTGCACATTGAGCTATTTCCATCTGCATAGGGGACTCTGCCGACGGCGCCGGAAACAAGCTGGGCCTTGAAGCAGCAGGTCCCACTGTAGCTGGTGCTGCTCCCGCTGGGGCTTCAGCTCCTGCTGCGCTGTCTGCCATGACCGCAATGGCACTCATTCCAGCCTCCCTGCACAGAGCGCCCAGATCTGCGCCTGTGTATCCATGACACTCGAATGCCAACCTGCAGGGAGCCGCTTCACACATGAATGCGCATGGCCACACACGCTTGAACGCCTGTGCACATTGAAACCCCACCACCCCCCACCCACAAGTTCATGCGGGAGGCGCTTACTGCTGCAGGTCCACAGAGCCATCTAGAGGCAGTCGCTGTGTCAGCAACCGCAAGATACTCGTCCTGGCTGCGGCATCTGGAATAGGCACAAGTATCTCACGCTCCAACCTGCACCAGCATTTCTGACCACCCTTGAACAACAACCGAAATGGATGCCCGCGTCTGCAGCAATCAGCCGGCTCACCTGCCCGGTCGCCTGAGCGCTGGGTCAACGGCATTCGGCCGGCTGGTGGCACCCACTACCAAAATGTGCCCCAACCGCTGTTTTCCGTGTTCAACCTGCTTGCATTGTGGACCCAGAGCTGTCGCGCCATCCAATAGGGTCAGCAGCTGCCCCACTATCCGCGCCTCCTGCTGGCGCGCCGATTCTCGCCGCGGACAAAGGGAATCCACCTGCAGGTGCTTGAGCGCCAAAGAAGAAGGAACCACAGGGGGCAGGAATAGTCTCAGGAACAGCAAACAACGTGCAGCAACAGACATGCCTGCTGTGCTATAGGGCAGGCGGAGCCGGCACGGCCAGCTCCGAAGTGCACGTGCCCGGCCCAAGAACAAACTTGCCTCATCCAAGAAGATGACCACCAGCTGGCCAGCCTCCGCATCCTTGTTGGCTGCAGCAAAGACATCACGTAACCGGCGCTCTGACTCGCCTGCACCACGGAGCAGAGGAGCAGAGCGCCAAGCGGGGTTGGAAGGTGCGTGGTGTATGTGTTTGGGAGGGGGGCGGGGGACATACAAGAGCAACCACACAACCCTGGCTGCGGCAGAACAACCGCGGCTTGCCTGTGAAGGCGCCCACAATGGATGCTGCTGTCACCAAGTGCATGGCGGCGCCGCACTCGAGGGCAACCGCATGTACCGCAGCGGTCTTGCCGCATCCGGGGGGGCCATGCAGCAGCAGGCCCTTGGGCCACCGGACTCCCAGCTGCACGGCTGCTGTAGAATACTGCATGGGCCAGCTGAGCGCCTGCAGCATGAATCCGGGGGGCAGCGGGCGTGCAACGCCTGGCGCTCGGGCAGCGGATGGGCGGCGGCAGGCGCGTGGGGGCAGGGTCCCACCTCCCGCAGGGCCTCCAGAGTGTCGTCCATCCCCGCCAGCCCTGCCGCCATCGCTTCTTCCACACGCGCGCTTTAACCAGGCGCCAGCTCTGTGGCGGCGAGGCTTGTGTTATGGCAAGGGGGCAGTTGCGTTGGGCTTGCGGCTTTTCAGGGTGTTGGCGATAGGTCATCAAGTTACTAGTAGTCGGCAAATGCAAGCTCGGGATGACCAGTCAACTGGTGTTCATGGTTTCATTCTGCTTTGAATGAATTCCTCCCCTGTCAAAGTTCCGTTGCTTCCATCTCGGGGGCCCATTTCGAGACACCAGTAGCGCGCGCCACTTCCGCGCCTCGCTATGGTGCCCTCTCCGTCGCAAGCAGGGCCCGAAGCACCGCGGCCAGGGTGAGACAGCTGCTGGGGACAGCCACTGTGCTGGTCGGCGAGAGAACTCCGAGAGAGCCCCTGTTGCTGGCCTGCGGTGCAGACTGAAGGTGGCGCTTGACCTGGGAGCCGTCGTCGAGCACTGCCGATGCTCCATTTGCATGGGTGAACGCCCTGCTGTCGGCTCGCCGCCCACCCCCTCCACCACCACCTCCTCAGTCCCTATCCTGCCCGCAAGTTGCCCGCAAGCAGCCTCACCAAACATACCTCCTTCCTTGTTGCGATGCAGGCATCATCAAAAACACCCGGGCCGTCTCGGCGTGCATGCACCGCTTCTGCAAGGACTGCATCGAGGCTTGGCTGCGGACGCAAATGTACGGGCTGCACGGCTGCTTGCATCGTCCGCTGCTATGCATGGAACGTTACCAAGCCTCCGGCAGGCTGGCGGCAGATATAGGCTTGTGATGTGGGTGGGCTGGGAGTGCCGTGTGTCTGGAGCTAGAGTCACTGATTGCTTCCCCTCCGTGGCTGGTGTGCAGCGAGAACAACTGCCCGCAGTGCCGAGTCAAGTTCTCCAGCAAGCGGGACTGCAAGCCGGTGCGTTTCTAGGGTGGACAACCCAAGGACGAAACCTTGCCACCACCTTTGAGCCCACTTGCTTTGCCCGTTGCAGGACCCAGTCTTTGATCTGCTGCTGGGCACTATGTTTGGCGATGTTGAGGAGTTTGAGAAGCAGATGCTGGACCCCTCGCTGGAGGTGCTGCAGCAGGCCAAGGCGGTGGGCCAGCAGATTGCGCTGGTGGGTGCTGCGGGTGGGGGCCCCCTACACATCTGAATCTGTGCCAGAACTGCATTCCAGCCAGCGAGGCTGGCTGCCAGAGCACTGCAGGGAGCATGGGTGTCGGGGTGTGAGCGCAGATTTGCCAGCATGCATGCACCGTTGCATCCTTGCAGGCCAAGGAACAGGCTGCTGCCAGGCGTCCCTCGCCGCCGCCTCATGCTTCATGGCACATAGACAGCCTGGGCGGGCAGCAAGCGCAGCAGCTGCCATGGCAGGCCCCGCCGCGGGGTTTTGATGCCACCGTGCATGTCACGGCGGTGCGGCCCAAGCAAGCCGCTTCCGCAGCAGCACTGGCACTGTCAAATGTGGCACTGGCCCTGCCCCGGCAGCATGCACCCGTGGCTCACGTTGGCAAGCGGCAGGCTTGGAGCGCAGGGGGGAGTGATGCCAAGAGGCAGAGGGTCGGCAGCCCTGCAGACGAGGAGGACGCTGGCCTGCTGCAGTACAGGTGAGCGCCCCTCCTCAAGGGAGCTTGGACGCATGCTGCCATAGCTATTTCTTGCCCGACAGCTTTGGTGCACACATATATGCAAGATGCTTCGTTGCAGGGGCGTGCGATTCCAGGGTGACAACTGGCAGGCCCGCACCAAGCGCTCTGGCAAAGAGCTCAGCTTGGGCCTGTACAACACAGCGGAGGAGGCCGGCATGGCCTACGACATCGACCGCCTGCAGCAGCAGGGCGGCAAAGCGCAGCGGCTCAACTTCCCGCTGCTGCGCCAGCACTACAAGCAGATTCTGAGCGACTTGGCAGATCTACAGACCCCCGATGGCCTGCTGGACTTCCTTGCGGTCGCTGTGCAGGCGGCGGTAAAGGCGGCCCGTAACGTGCCGGGGGCCACCGCGCCCGAGAACACTGGCCCGGCAGCCGCCTCCATGCTCAACCCGCGGCGCTCAATCGCGCCGGCAGTCCACGCTGCTGCCAGCCTGCTGCGCCAGCCCTCAGCCCTTGCTGTGCCAGATCCTCCAGAGCCATCCGCCGCGGGCGCTGCTGACATGGAATCGGATTTGGACGAGGTGGGGCCGGCAGTGGCGCCGGTCTTGCTCCCACCCGAGCAGCATCTGGCAGCACGTCAGCAGGCCGAGCAGCTGGCAGAGGAGCGAGCACTGGCGGCGGGGCTGGCAGATGGCATAGCCCACGCGCGACTGGAGGCGGGCAGCGGCCCTGCTTGGCGGATGAACTATCTTGCATGCCCTGCCTCTGCCACCATCAGCCAGGTGTCAGAGGTACGTGCGTCTTGGATGGCTGCGTCACTGCCCCCATGCTGGGCTGCTCCTCGCTGCATCACATCGCATTGCATGTTTTGAGTCGTATGTAGGCGTGGCTGCACTGCTGTGGCGCTGCCTGCATGCGTCATTTGGCTGCCAGGACATGCAAGTTTCGTTGACGTAGTATGCGTGTACGGCTGCAGGCTGTGGCGCTGGGCATCTCGCAGCAGCATCGGCTGCCGCCAGGAGGGCTGCGGGTTGGGCTGGCCGTGGCAAATGACCTGGATGCCTCTGCAGACTTTGACGCACTGTGTTACGAGGGTGGTGCCGCCGGCAACCTGCTGCTGCGCGGTCACGTGACCATCAGGTGGGTTTGTTGGGATGGGACCGTGTCCCACACCAGGTGGGCCCTTACCGAGGATGTCCCACCCCTGGACCGCACCTGGCGCAGGGAGCTGCTGGCCACTCTGCAAGGCGCGCAGGAGACCCTGTGCCTGGAGTGCCACGCGGTGCCGTGCCAGCCTGAGCCCTGGGCAGGCACTAGCGGCGGCGGAGGCCTGGCGTCACATGCAGGTGTGACAGAAATTCCCACGGCTTCGTGACTGCTGCCTCCTTGTGTGACTTCTCGACGACTGTAGCTAAGAAGAATCATAGCGGAAAGCGTCCCATGATAGCGGAAAGCGTCCCATGATAGCGGAAAGCGTCCCATGTAATTTTTCTATGCCAGCACAGCAGAGCACCCATGCCGCGGCGCGTCACCCATTGCCGCGGCGCGATCACAGAATTGTAAAGATGACCCCTGGCTTTAACTGACGAGAGGAGGCGAGAATGTCCGGCTTTTCACCCAGCGCCAGCAACCTCCCCTTGAGCCTCTCCCGCAGCTCCCAATTCCCTCATCATGGTGCTGCGCCGCGCGGGTAAGCATAGCCCGTCGCGCGCGCTTGAGCAGCGGGGTGGCGAGCTGCGCTATGCCGCGCGTCAGGGTATGCCGCCCGGCGGCCCTACCGCTCGTGTTCACGCGGACAGGTTCTGCTTCCGCAGGCGGCCGCCCGGCTGGCAGTTCAGCACTGAGCAGCGGCCGGAGCGCACCTTCATTAAAAAGTGGCATGCACAGTCACCAGTAGCTGTGGCGGGGCGATGGCGTGCGCCGCGGAGTGGGCGGCAAGACCCTCCTCCTGCCACCACACCTGCGGAGCCCTGTGCTACTAGGTGGGAACACTCGTCTAGCGGTTGTGTATAGGGCATGATTCCAGCAGGCCACATTTCTGTCCTATCCGGCAGTGCGCTGGCCTGCCCCACCACCCTCCACCTCCCGCCCGCAGCTCACAAGACGCGGAGCAGGGAGCACCTGAAATAGGAGGCAACCTCACCATCGCATCGGCTGGGGTGGTTGGAGGCCTGATCTTTGTGGCAGGGGCAGCTTTCCTATTCAAGGATGCCATCAGGCAAGCAGTGACGTTTTCTGTGTCCCTTTCCGCCTGGCCAAGTTGAGTCAAAACAGTATTTTCGGTCTGTTTATTCAGGGCCTGCTTGGATTTGTTTACTACATTGGTGGATGAGTGGGGTTTCGGCGGGTACGTGGTGTACGGCTTCGTCTACGCCCTCCTGGAGGTGCTTGCTGTTCCAGCAATCCCGTTAACAATGACGGCTGGTGCGCTTTTTGGGGTCGGCCCCGGCCTGGCAGTTGTTTTGGTGTCGGCTACTCTAGCTGCCACGGCTGCCTTCTTGATCGCGCGGTGAGCAGTGGACGGTGCTGCATGGAGGACACTCAAATGCACCTTGTCTTTCCTCCAGCATGCCAGCTATCTGCCCGCCGCTGCAGCTATGTCGCCCGAGAGCGCGTGCTGGAGTATGCTCGCAGCCATCCGCGATTTGCCGCTATTGACAGGGCCATCGGGGCAGATGGGTTCAGGGTGGTGTTTCTGCTGCGCCTCAGCCCTCTCCTTCCGCTGAGCGCGTCCAACTATGTGTGAGTGATGAGGGATGCTGGCATTTCCTGTTTAGAATTTCTAACCATTTTATTGAAAGAAACTTAATGTTGGTTGACATACTATCCCTTGCCAACCCTGGTGCAGCTACGGCCTCATGAACCTCAGTCTGCGCGATTATGTTTTTGCCTCGTTCTTGGGAATGCTGCCAGGTGAGGCCGGGTCGGGCTAACAATCATCTGGAGCCAGGTCGTACGCCCTTCCCATGAGGCGGGGTGCAGACACGTTACCTGAAGTGGCCCCGATTGCAGGCACATGCTGCTACATTGCGGCAGGTGCCTATGGCACCCGCTTCCTCAGTGAGGGAGGCGGGGGGCTGGAGGGCATCAACTGGTGGCAGGCCGGGGCGGCTCTGGGGGCCAGTGCTTGTGCGATTGCTTACATCGGCAATCTGGCCCAGAAAGCGCTGGCGGACGTGGAGGTGGACGAGGGGGAAGAGAACAAGTAGTGGAGGTAGAGAGCAGCTTATGACGAGGCCGTGGAGTTGGAGAGCAGCAAGAAAAAGAGAGAGCAAATGAATGCCCAATCATGGCGCGTTGTCGGGCAGGCCGGCGAAAAGGACGCATCGCCCTTCCTGCAGCGACAAACAAAAGGGCATTGAAATTAACAGGCTGTCACTATGGGATCGTAGCCGATGCGCCAGCATTCACATATGCGCCCCGCCACCTGGTTAAGCACGTTGAAGGTGGCCACCGCATTGGCCTGCATGTCGGCACATTTGGGTCAATTGTGCAGGAGGCAAGAGCCTCGCCCACAGTGGCAGGAGCATCAAATGTACAAGAAGAGGTCGTCACCCACCGTGTCCATTGCATCTACCCGTATGCCCAACTGGTGCAGCTGGTGCGACAGGCCAGCCGGCAGCTGACGCAGCGTGCGGCCACATCCAATCACAATCAGATCTGCAGCAACAACCTCTGGCCAACAACTGTTGCTTGGGGACGGCACCTTCAGGCAGGGCGCAAGCAAGCGCTGCTCCCAAAAGGTCAGCGGTTTCAACCTGGAACTGGTTTCAGCAAGCGAAGCAGCGCCAGGTTATCCAGTGCGATGTCGGTAACTCGGCGCGCCTTCCACAGCGCAAACATGTCGCCTGCAGGCAGGTGTGCAGGCGGGTAGGTAGGTAGGCACTCACTTTGTCCCATCGCGTCCAAGGGCGCAGTGTTTACTCACCAGCCACCAGGATGCTGCCCTCCAACCACACATCATTCACCACGAATCCCGCGTCGTGCAACCTGCGCGGGGTGACAGGACGCATCACCCCACGGGCCTAGGCAGGCGCACACAGGGCGGTTCAGGCAGCTCAGTCCCGCACCCCTCGATGCGTGCCAGGCCTTGATCCGGCGCAATCAGGTCATATTCCTGTTGTTCAGTGCTCGTGTCATAGCGCTGCTGGCTTGCCGCCGCCGCCGCCGCCGCCGCCGCCGCCGCCGCTGCCGACATGTGCCGCCGTGGGGGTGCCAGCTGTCCCCCCCAATGCCGTCCTGCTGCTTCCCTGTCCCTGTCTGAGGTGAGGCTGTTTAGCCACTCATACCGAATCAAACTACAGCTTAGCTCCGGAGTTCTCACGAGGTGGCGAATTCTGGAGAGGTTCATTGTGATTTCATCGCGGAGAGAAGAGAGCCGAACGACGTGCGGCCAAATCGGCTGCGAGGCCTAGAGAGCGCCGACCAACAGCGGCGCTGGCGGTGACATGACTCTCTTCATTCCATCTTAGAGTGTGATCATAAGTAGAGTGTGATCGTGATACTCTCAAAAAAGCGGTATGCTCCACAAGCAAACAGAGATAAGCAGGTCATTGCCTGCATCACCAGGCATGAGGCCCTCTGCAAGCCGCCATCGTTGCTCGTTACCGCCTCTCCTCATCGAGCAATCCTTGCACTACCGGGGTGCGGCACAGCGCTTCAACCTGCAGCACAGGGTCCAAGATGCAGGAAGAAGGTGACACCACAATGTGTGAACGGCAGAGGACAGCACGACCTGCTGTCCTCCCGACTCCCACTGCTGCACTACGGGGCTAGGGGCTTGGGCACGGCGTGTCCTTAATTGAGACACCAATTTCCCAACAAAAGCGCAACCCGGGCTGCTTCCTTGATCACTGGAAAGCCGCACCTGCCGGGCAGCAGATGTTACTGTGCTTGCCAGCAGCAGCAGGCTAAGGCATCCCACGGGCACTCCAATCAGCGCCTGGCTGGCCGCATCCACCCCACGTGCTGCCAGCGACAGGCTCGCCAGCAATGCTGCATTCAGCAGCTTCAGCTGCTGCCTTCTCACTGCTATAAAGCTGTTGGTCTCATCCCCCGGGCTCAAGCCATGAAGGCCTGCGTTGTTCTGAAGGGCAGGGAGAAGGAGGGACGACACCAAAGGATGTGAGAGCCGGAAAGGCATTCCACCACCGCCACATGCCACGTCAACTGCCTCATACAACCAGGACATCAACTTACTCCGGCCAGAAAGCGAGACACCTGGCGCGGCGTCAAGTCAGTCAGAGTAACAGCCTCGGTGATCAGCACCAGCGCAGCAAAGCCCAAAGCGCTCTCAAAGGGATTGGCAAGTCCCAGCCAACTGCAGCAGGAATCACACGACCGCTGAGATGGCTAGCAACAACCTGGCAAGCGGTCTTCAGCGCCAAAGGCAGACACATGCTGCTGCAAATACGAGTGAAGGGCAGGAGTGTTGACCAGCAGGGCAGGACTGCGCACCCAAGTGGGGCTTGCAACAGGGCTGCCCAAAAACTGGCAAAAAGAAGGCTGCGTGCACCAGACGGGCTGAGTCGCATGGGGAAATACTGGCCCATGGCGTGGCCTGCTCTAGAAGGTGCTGGGGCGGACTGCGTTGCTGGAAGCTGTCCCTCTTCATTAGACACCAAGGTAAGCAGAGGGTGCTGCGATTGCACCTGCAGCGCAAACCGAGTTAATGCTGTCGCATAACTCTGCTGTTCACTTGTTTGCTCACGCGCGTCTGGCATGCTGGTTCCAGCGTTCTCACTGTGCTATGCCGTGTGCGATAGAAAGTGATGGGCAGCCTCAGCTCCACAGATTGTGCCCAAATCGAAACAGCTACAAGGCCAGTGCAGAGGGCCACCACCACAAATCCAGCAAGCGGGCTTGCTGGGCTTGCAGGTGATGAGGACGCCAGCTGCACTGCTGCGTTGGCAATGAAGTGTGCATAGTCTGCAGGCAGGAGACAAAAAACAGGAATGAAACAGGACGTGCAATGGTCAACTGCCCGTCTCTACAGCGCAGCATTCCGCGCCTGCCAAGCAACAAGTACACACTCACTCACTGCCACACCAAGCGCAATGACAAGACCCGTGCCATCCCCTAGCCTGCAAAAGGCATATGAATGACAGCTTACTGTTTTTGTGGCTGGGAGACGGGGCTTGCCAACCACCCAACCGGCTGGTGCCCCTTCAAGCCAGCCAGAAGCTCAGCAGGGCCAGCCAAACGCGTGCGGTCCAATTTGTGGGGTCACCCGTGCTGCTCGACCATTTGCGTGACGAACTTGGAGACTGTGGACCCAGCAGCCAGCATGAGCACTGCCCATAGCACCCAGGCGCCGCTGCTGCTTTGAACAGCTTCCAAAACCGATCCTGATAGCGCTGCCTCTGCAGCTTGATCAGTGCCGATGTGCGCATGCAGCTGCAGCCAGCCGTGCACCGTCACAAATCCCTGTGCGCAAAATAGCACGAACACGAACTGAAGGACACCCAGTTCTTGCTGGAGTGGTGAGCTGCTCAGCTTGAAAGTGGGCAGCATCAGCCTCTCCGCAGCTCTCACCTCCCAGAACGCAACTAACACAAACAACCCAGATGCATAAGCCTGGTAGATTTCCCGCCCTTGTGGCCCTTGCTCCCTACATTCAGGCACAGCATCGCCTGGCCACTCTGCAGCTAGCAGCACAAATAGCATACGCAGTGGCTGGCCAGTCACCTGAGTACAGCAAAATGCTTCCGGAACTCGGGGACGATATTTGCGGCTGCCAGGACAAAATAAGCTGACATCAGCGGTGCGATGCTGCAGGCGAAAGCGAGGAGCGGGCGCGAAAGGGCATAGATTTATGGTTTGTTTTTGCCCAGTCAGCGACAGCGGTGCATGCCGATGGCCCTTGCTCCATCGAAGCTTAATGGCCAAAAAGCGTCTCCGGCGGCATTGGGCATCATGCCCTTTCCCAGGCACCCAACCCAAAACAAGACTCACCCAAGTGCAAAGATGTTGGCAGACACTTCACTCCTGCCCAGGAGGAGCTCCAGTGCAATCCTGCTGCTGATGGCCTCTAACGGTGCGCCTGCTCAGGGTGCATATCCAAGATGCCTGTGACCCAGCAGACACAGTTGCTGGCCAAAAACAGAAGGAATCCTTCCTGCAAAAACAAAGCGGCACTGCCGCGAGCATACGCACCGGGGATGGGTATAAAGTGGCCAAGCCTTGCCAAGCAAATGAGCAGAAGAGTGGCGCCTAAGCGGCTGACCAGCTCATTGTTGCGCACAAACAAGAGCGACGGCGCAGCTGCAGAACACGCGACGCGGGGCACCAGCCTGCTGCCGCCTACGCGGGCTGGTCTAGCCGCAGCTGGCTGGACCAGCCGTTCCCATGGTTGGGCCACGTGTCGCTGGGACAAGCCGCTGCATGCACTGACAGTTGGCTGCTGCGCAAGCGCGCGGTGCCGCCTGCCCGCACCGCCAACTCCGCCGACGGCGGCAGTGGCAGTGGCGGCGGCGGTCTTGATTATTACCCGCGGGGTTGGGCGTGCTCCGTGCGATAGTCTTGTGTGGAGAGATGGCAGGGACGGGCGCATCGCACAGACAAGCAGGAAGGCAAGTTGATGGTGGACCACACAACCCCGGCATCGGCGGAGAATTCAACTAATAAATGGTGGAATACGCACGGCCACTCGGAATCTCCAGGAAATAGGTACGCCTATACAACACATGCGTCCAGCAACCAGCGGCAGTGCAGCCAAACAAGCACCCACCACTCACTCTGCCGATCAGGTTTCCTCAATGGGAGAGGTGGCAGCAGCACCTCAGGAACCAGACGGACCCAAGCTGCGCTTCAGAAACTATGCGGTCGCCGCCCAGGAGCAAATAGAGCACCAGAGGGTGCGCGCACACGCTTGCGCGACACACACACACACACACACACACCGCCCCGCCCCCGCCCCTTCTATTGCGCCGCGTCCCAGTGAACCGCTTGTGCTCGCCGTGCACAGGTGGAGCCTGCCCGGGTGCCGGAGTTCAAAGAGGTGAAGGTGGACGTGGCTGCGGTGCTAGGTGATGATCCAGAGGTGAGCGAGGACCACACGGAGGAACACCCTGTACGCACACCATCCGCACACAGAGACACACACAGCAAACGCCCGCCATACATCCCTGTCTGCAGGAGGTGCTGGTGAATGTCGCGCCCAAAAAGGCCAACTGGGACCTGCGTCGTGACATTGCGGATAAGCTGGCACGCCTGGAGCGCCGCACACAGGTGCGGCGGGTGCTGCGGTTTCGGTTGTTCCAATTTGTGATGCATGGAGTATGTATTCATGGTTTTGGTTGGGACGCATCGAGGGCTACGCCCGATGCCCTTGCGGTGCAGGCTGCCATGATCAACCTCATGCAGGCGGAGCGGGGAGAGGAGGGAGATGCAAACAATAAGCCTTGAGCGCCATTGTCCTTGGTTGTTTAACCACAGCTTACCAAGCACAGAAAGAAGGAGGAAGAGCAACCACCGCCAGCCTAGCTTCCTGGTGCAGGCTGCAATGATCGATGATCCTCATGCAGGCCAATAGTAATAAGCCTTGAGCACATTGTCCTAGCACCACTGAGCCACGCCCGGACGCCCTGGGACGGCCTGTTGGCCGCTTGGCAGGGCGAGCTGCTGCTGAGCTGCATTCGCTGCAGCATTCTGCGCACCAGCCACAGCTGCTGCTGCGGCACCGGTGCTCACCCCCGTCCGCGGCATGGGCAGGAGGGCAAGCAGCGGCGGCTGGTGCTGCAGTGGGCGCAGCCACTGCTGCTGCTGCGGGTGGCCACAGGAGCTACCCCTGCGGGCAGGCCGACGTCTCCTTCGAGCCTGACTCTAACCTTTAGCAGTATAATGTGACATGCACATGCAAGCTCCAAGTGTTTCTTATTACAAAAGAAGACGCACCCCTTGCACGCATCTCATTGCGGCGCTCAATTCTCATCTCTCGACGTTGCGCTCTCAAATCACCGGCCCTTTCGCCGATTGATTTGGCCCCAGCCCTGTGTCTGCAAGCTGCTGCACCCTTCGGCATCCGACGGATCCTAGCACCACAGTTGTGCCCCCAGCGGTCAAGCATGGCAATCTGCGGCCCCCACTGCAGCCCTGCGGCCCAACGCACAACCTGGCACCACCGCCTCCCACTGATGGCAGCCGCCCCCGCCAGTGCGGCGGGGCGGCGGGGCGGCAGGAGCAGGCAGATCGCAGCGGTGCTTGCACCCTTACATGGAGCTGCCGCTGCTGGTGCAAGGGGCACAGCCGCCTTGAAGAAAGCCCGTCTGATCACCGGTGAGGCCATGTGCAGGCGGTGGGTGGTGGCTCAGCTGATGAACCCCACCCACTTTCCCCTGCACGTGCAGCTGTGCTTGCCTGTTGTTCCATGTGGGGAGGGGGGGTTGAGTTTGGAAGGCAATTCCTGAGCTTGCTTCTTGGAGGGCGCACACTGCTTCCTCACGCCCCTCGTTTTTGCAGCCATCAAGACTCCTTATCTGCCCAATGGGAAGTTCGACCTTGAATCGTACGATGCCATGGTCGAGAATCAGATAACAAATGGGGTGGAGGGGCTGATTGTGGGGGGAACGACTGGCGAGGGGCAGCTGATGTCGTGGGATGAGCATGTCATGCTGATTGCTCACACAGGTGCTGCGACGTCATGCTGCGTGCTCATGTGGCCGCCCGCTGAACTGGTGGCTGGCGCAGGAGTGCTTTGCCCCATGCCTACGATCACGAATTAGTGATGCCTGCCGATGTGTTGTGCTTGCACGCGCAGTGAACCAGTTTGGGCGGCAGATCAAGGTGATCGGCAACACAGGCAGCAACAGCACGCGAGAGGCTCTTCATGCAACCGAGCAGGTTTGTCGGAATGTGCTGCCTTACTCGCCGTGTCTCAGAGAGTTTATGGATTGCACGGCAACTGGCATCTAGTGTCCCCCACTGGTGTGCAGGGCTTTGCTGTGGGCATGGATGCGGCCCTCCAGATCAATCCATACTATGGGAAGACATCGATGGCAGGACTCAGGGAGCACTTCAAGTGGGCCCTTTTGAGGCGTCTGCAATTGCATGTTTCCGCGCTTTTCCTGCCTTGTGCCGCTCTACCTGTCAGCAGTGCCTGTGGCACTACGTTGCACCTGTCATTCCATCCACAATGCTCTTGCTGCAGGGCAGTGATTGCAGAAGGTCCTGCCATCATTTACAATGTGCCCAGCAGGACAGGTGCGCGTGCAGGCGTGTCCCAGAGGGCAGGCTGATCTGCGTAGGGCTGTAGGCTTGCAAAGAGGAAGGAGCAGCGACCAGTCACTGTGCTGTCCACATACATTTTGTGATGCAGGGCAGGACATCCAAGATGACGTCATCATGTCCATCGCATCGCATGAGAACTTTGTGGGCGTGAAGGAGTGCACCGGTGAGGCTCGATGCAGATAAAAGAGGGAAATTGTGTGGTATTGCCCAGTGTTCTGGTTACACCCGACGCACTGCCAAAACACTGGTACACCCGACACACTGCCCAAACTCTGGTTACACCCGACGCACTGCTGCAGGCAACCCACGGATTGATCACTACCACAGCAGCGGCGTGGTCTGCTGGAGCGGCAACGATGATGAGGCCCACGTTGGGCGTCACCAGCATCATGCACAGGTGGGGCTTGCACTGGGGAAGTTAGTGGAGCCAATGGGCTGGATGTCGAGCCCAAGCTTTCTTCCTTCCCTATGTGGCGTATACAGGGCGTGATCAGTGTGACGAGCAACATCATCCCCGGACTGTTTGCCAACCTCATGCAGCAGGCAAGTGATGTGTATTGTCCATGGCAGGTGTTGCAAGCAGTCGCCATGGAGTGATGCAGCCATGCCAGCCACCCTGATTGCAGCGGGACGACGACATGGCGGCCAGTCTGCATGATTTGATTGCGTGGCTCTTCTGTGAGCCCAACCCGATTCCGCTGTGAGTTTGGGGCGGCTGCCAGTGCCGTGTTCTTTTGTTGAGCATGATGCATTGCACCTCTTGGGAAATTCTCAGTCTGGCAGCATCCGCCGTGACGCAGCAACACCGCGCTGGCAATGTGCGGCCTCGTGAAGCCCATCTTCCGCCTACCATATGTGCCACTGTCGCGGGAGCAGCGGGAGCACGGCGCAGTGCTGTTGCGCCAAGTACAGGAGCATATCCCTGGCTGCAAGGTGTGTTCCGTCGCCCAGCACAGCAGCTGGCCATTGTTTCGAGCGGCACAGGATGCCATCCTTTTGTTTCTCTGCAGGAGGTGCGTGTTATGGAGGACGACGAGTTCAAGCTGATTTACAGCTCCAGCTACTGATTGTGGCCACAGCAAGCAGTGCCAGGACTTGATATCATGTGTTCCCCTCTCGCTCGCGCTTCTCATCCACATGAAACTGGCCGGCAACCTCGAAGCCAGAACATAATGTTTGCAGCAGAATAGAAAGTGGCAAATGTTGCCGCCACAACATGGCGGCGCGCAAGCATTAGCGGGATTATCCCTGCAGACAAACACTGGAGTGTTGAATTTTTGTGCGTGCGGACCCTCTCCCCCCTCCCTGCCTGGACGGGCTGCAACGGTTTGGCAACCGTGATTACCCTTCAAGCCATCGAGTCCCAACACAAATCCAGCAAGGTTGGCGACCATCAGTGCAGCAATGTTGATAGCAGCACCCATTGCACAGATGTACCGAAAACCTGCAAGCATGGAAGAGCATGTGTGAGTTGGCCGAGAGCACACGGGAAGGGCATTGCATGCCAACGCATGTCAGCTGACACTGTGTGTGGCGCCAGTAATCGAGACGTGGAGACTGCACAAGATTCTTGGCCATCATTTCGGGGACGAAAGCCATGCACACAAGCCAGGCCCAGCTCAGCATCCGCCACTGTAAGAGCGAAGAGAAGGGTATGGCTGAGTGGTTTGGCTGTGCACCACGCTGGTGTCACCCATGCTGGTGTCACTTGCCTCTATGTCATGCCAAACTGCCACAAAAAGGAACACAGGCCAGATGATGAGCGCTCGCCGATGGCTACCCCCCAGGGGTACGTACAAATACCGTACAAGCCACTGGTTGTAGCTAGAGTGCCAGCCCCGCCAAAACCCCTGTGGGGTTTGCGAAACTGCATGCACTCAGCCCTGCGTGAACCATCACAGGTACTGCTAGAGTGCCGTTCACCTCAATGTCATAGTTGTTAGCAAAGCACCGGCGCATGTTCTCTGGCGGGTCTATGCCGTCCAGTAGGGCTGCAAGCCTGCACCTCCATGTATGCAAAAAGCGCAAGCTGCTAAGGGAGGACAAACAGCCAAATTGATGCCCATCAAGGCTGATCCAAGACAAAGGTTGAATGTCGTAACGGATTGGGCTCACCGAAAAAACCTCCAAATGGCAGCAAACTTAAGCCACATGAAGCACAAGACCCAGAAGGCCGTCATGGCTGCAATGCAGCACGAGCGGATGCTCAAACCACAACACAGACAGCTGGACCTGACAACCACATTACGGCCTGTTCTCACCCATTTCGATGGCATCATAATGCATGCCATAGGGTTGGTAACGCAGCCCAATGCGGTGCTTTGCAATGCTGTTGAAGTACAACAGATGGGTCAGCAGCTCCAAGCACAGCCAATCAGCCCCAAACCGGGCGGCATAGCATGCCACCTGCGGGCAGGATGGGCCAGTTGTTTGCTGCACAACCAGGCACGACTGCAGAACGCCATAGCGGCAGAATCAAAAGTGCGGTATCTAGCACAGCGCCACCTACCGCCCGTGAGGTCAATTTGGGTGGCTGCCGCAATTGCCATGCGAAGTCCTGGTACGTGATAATGGGCCCAGCGAGGTAGAGTGGCGGGTACAGCACATGTGCGAGGTACATAAGCACGCTATAGTCTGCCGCAGCAGGCAGCGCTGTGTGCTGCCTGTGACGTGCACTGGCTGCAGGCCTGCCCTTGCTGCCAATAGGCCCTGGCGATTGCTGTCCTGGCTGCTGCTGCATACTAATGTCCCCTCGGTGGTGGCGAGACCCCCCAGTCCTAAGCTGACTTTGGCGCCAATGCAGGTCCAGGGCGAAACTCAGCATGCGAAGTATAGATAGGTTGAAGCAAATTTCCCAGCGCATAATGCCCCTGCGATCGATGGGCAGGGGCAGGTTGGTAGGTTTGCAGGAGGGTTTGCAGGTGCCGCAGCATGTTCCTGCATGGAATCATCAGCTGCGAGACGTAAACCTAGGTGTGCAAGGCAACACGGCCCTGCGGCTCACCTGTGCGAGTCTAGTGCAGCCAGTAAGGTGCTGAGGTCGCCAAAACGAAAGCCGTGTCCAAGGCGGCCCACCAGCAACAGTCCCAGGTTGCAAGCCCACACAGCCATGGCTCTGCAGTCGCAGGCAGTTTTCTGCATTCCTCATTGTTCCAGCTGGATGCGAACTCCGCGGCAGCCCAACGCATGGCAAAGCCCTCACCCCCAATGCCGACCCGCCACGGCACGCGCAACACAATAGTTGGTGAGCGCGAGGGCCACAACGAAAAGTGCGCACGCGCCATGCAGGTAGCCTGCATGCCACCCGCGCTGGAAGGGTCGTCACCCACATCACCATGGCCAAGCATTGAACAACATGGCAAGCATGTGATAGACATGGGCACCCACCCAAGAAAGGGATTGAGGCGATTAGGTAGAAGAGTGCTCTTCCATTGTGCGCCACGCCGCGCCGCTGCAGCATGCGCGACGCCGCTGCTGCCAGCGCAAACAGCACTGCCATAGCTGGCAGCCCCGCACGGAACTGTCGCCACTGAGTGTCAGACAGGTCCTGCGGCAGCAGCCAGCGGCAGCATAGGGAGGAGGCACTCAGGGCGGGGCGGGGGCAACACTTGCTGTGCCTGGCGGCCGCAGCCCTAGCTGGGCCCTAGCCAGCTCACCACTCGTCTGCCAAATAGGCCCGGCTGCAGACCCGGAGCGTAGCCATCCCACGCCTGGCCGTGTTCGAACTGCCGAGAGAACTGGTAGCCCGCGACTGCGAGCTTCACAGCGGCGCCTCCGACCACCTACATGTTCGAGATACACCTGTAGTCAGCAGGCAGTGGACGGCGTCCAGTGGGGCACGACCTTTCAGCTCACAGCGCTATGCAACACGAGCTCCGCTCTTCCAACCATCCGGCAAACTTAGGAAACGGATGGAGGAAGCCTGGTTATTCAGCCTGGCCCACATCAGCAAAGCACCCTCAGCACTGCAGGCAACAGGTATAAGGCAGGTGCCGGGATCTGCCGCCGGCCTCATCCAGTGTCTGTGTGTTGTCGTCAGACGACCGACGGACCGTGAACGAGTCAATTAATCTTCATGTTCCAACACTGTATCAACCAGGTGCAAGCGGCGATAGCCGGGCAAGACGGTACGTAGCCCCAGCCGCTGTGCTCTCCTTGACGGCCGTGTGGGACGGAGGGGAAGGGATGCTCGTGGCTGCGCTGGGGCGGCTTGGCACGGAAGGCGAGGGTTGTGCGGCGGCGGGCGCAGCGGGCGGCGCCCGTGAGAACAAGCGTCCTGCAATGTGGTTCTGTCCGTCGCCCATCCTCAGCAGGGGCGAAGCTCAGAGATCTTTTGGCGACGACGAATGCCGAGGTTCAGCAAGCAATCTTCGCAGCGCGCCACGCCAATCCCCGCTGGAACGCCGCCCCTTTCACATCGCGTCTCCCCGAGGGTTGGGCCGAGTTTGTGACGCTCCACTGCGCCTGCCTGGCGTCGCTGCAAGATGGCAACCGTGTGGAAGCCTACGAGAAGGCAGTGAGCGCGCTGCAGCCCTTTCTCAAGGTGTGGCACGCCCAAGGGGGTCATCTTGGTCGGCAACGGCATCCCGCCTCAAAACAGCCTGGCCTTGGCAAGCCTGACGCATCACCGGCATGCTTGGACGTGCCCCAACCCGCCTGACGGCACGGCCGACCCGTGGCGCTGTTGCAGGTGTTCCGGGAGGATCCTGGGGCATGGGTGGTGGCACCCATGCACAGCGTGGTGCACAACCTGAGCAGCGTGGCGCAGGCGGCAGACCAGGAGCTGAGGCAGGCGGGGCAGCGGCCAGACAAGCTGGGCGACTGCGGCGATCAGCTGCGCAAATGCTTCTCTGTCAGCTTGCAAGCACCAGGCAAGCATGACATGTATCGGGGCCCGGCGCATTGCGTGTGGTGCAGCCCAGCATGGCAGCATGCAGGCAGAGGGGTAGAAATACCTTGTTCTGCATGTTTGCCCCAACGCAGCCGGGCGCATGGGTGTTGCTTGCTGTGACATCACCCTTTTGCAGGCAACAGAGAGAAGAAGCTTGCGGCGCTGGACATTGTCAACGTGAGCATCAAGATTTACTTCCGCCTCAACACGCTGCGGCTGTGCAAGAATCTGATGCGCACCGTGGACTCCCGGCAGTTCGCAGCTTTTGATGCCTTCCCCATGTCGCAGCGAGTGACGTACAAGTTCTACGTCGGGCGGCTGGCAGTTTTTGATGAGAAGTATGTGCGTAATATCCCACCAGCCCCCCCAGAATGTTTGTTATCCTTACTGACATGTTGTCATTGATGGCCCGTTGTACATCCTGCTTGCTCGTCACTCACTCCTCACGACCCTCGTGCAGCAAGAGGCACAGGACAGCCTGGAGTATGCGCTACATCACTGCCACAAGGATGCACACCGCAACAAGGCGCTGATTCTCAAATATCTAGTGCCGGTGAGAAGGGCTGTTTGCTTGTGCTGGCTGCCAGCAACCTTGTTTGCTTTGCTCCTATCAATCTTGCTGCTGCCCAGTCTGTGTTATGCTCGCAGCTGCATGTCATTGCCCCCCAACCCCACCACTCGCCCTGCGTGTCTGCCTGTTCCTTCATCTCCACCGTTGTGCGGCGTTGCAGGTCCAGCTGCTATTGGGGCGGCTGCCATCGCCGGCGCTGGTTGCTGCGCACGGCCTGCAGCAGTATGAGCCCATCATTATCGCCATGCGGAACGGCGACATCAAGCTATTCAACGACATCATGGATGCACAACAGTTCCGCTTCATTCAGGAGGTGAGTTGTCCCCCTTTTCGTCCTTTTTTCTTAGAGCTGAGTCATGGGCAACCTGCTGCACGTTGATGACATGCCAGAGTGGTGGACATGGTCGCTCTTTACGATGCAGGGCACTTACCTGCTGCTCGAGAAGCTGCGATACGCTGCTTATCGGCGGCTCCTGCGCAAAGTGTGCGGCGTGCACGCCGAGATGGAGCCCCACAAGCGCACGCAGATACCACTGCCTCAATTTCAGGCAGCACTGGCATTCCAGGTGCGTCTGCTGCTGGGCGCCTTTGGGCTGTTAATATGACTTGATAGACCGCCAGTCTGGATACCACTACATCGCCTCTTTGCAGGGAGTGGAGCTGGACATGGACGAGGTGGAGTGCGTGGCTGCCAACCTGATCTTCCGCAAGTACATCAGGGGTTATTTAAGTCATGCACATAAAGTCCTCGTCGTTGCAAAGAATGAACCTTTCCCGCCGTTGCGCAGTGCTGCGCTGGCGGACTTGTGATCCTGATTGGCATGCAAACCATTTAACGGTAAACAATGATTCCATGGCCCGCGAGCGCTGCCTGCCAAGCAAAGGGAACATGTGTTGAAGCAAGCGGCACAGATAGTGCTGGCACAAAGAGCCCAAACTACAGCCAGGCCGAGGAGGCAGGGGCTGGCACGCCACGTGGGACCTTCTTGGGGAAAGTGATAGCTACGATGGTTTCTTTTAATGAAACTCTTTACAAACACAATCATGAGGTGAATAACCAAATCTGTTTGGCAAGCCAAATCCCTGCCACTACGCTAAAAAAATGCAACTACGGACCGCTGGCGCCCTGAATCTGGAATCTTTAGATGGGAACTCTCCAGGACTCTCCAATTCATAAAGCCGCCCATTATTGAGTTTTGGAGGGGCCAGGGGGGAAAGCATCTGGAAGTTCCTTCCAACTGCAGCAGAACGCGGTGTGTCTTGTTAGCATAAACCACATACTCACAATGAACGTTGTTGCGGGCTGCCTCACCAGTTGCCATCGAAACTCGAACACATACTTGAACAGCCAATAAGGGAAGATAGATCAGCAGCACAATTTAAGTTGCCGTAAGTTGAAGAGTTTCTTCTTTTTTTTACATCTCTAGCAGAATATGAGCTGAAGACTCCTGTTCATAGAACAGTTACATCCAGTCACTCGGTATCAATATGAGATTGAAGTTCATGCAATTGGTGTCGCAAGGCCTGTATTTGTGCATACGCGGCTTGATGATTTGAAGAAGGTAGTTGCCAACAGCGTGAGACACACCGTCTCCACAATTGCCTTCCATTACAGCAAGTAACAATTATGATACCTGCATCAACACTCAACAAGTCAGGCAATTGTATAGTGGAATTAGCATAAGAAAGCTTGCCTGCTGCTAGAATGCCCCCGGCGATGCCCAGCCAGCTTGGAATGCCCATCTGACTCCAAGAATGTATCATTGTACTGTTTTGGGGGAGGGGGTGGGGAAGAGATACGCTTCTCCAGAGTTCAGTCATATTGTATACTGAGGGGGTGGTGTCTCCTGTATATACTGCAAAGTGCAAACGGTCTTATTTGTTTGCTTATGCATTTAGATTATGGTCATTCTCTATGTATTTATGCACCTGCACAATAAACTGTTGCTGGAACAGCCCCTCGATGCCCTTGTTGAGACCATCGACCGCTGCCGCTTTCTGCTGCTGCATAGCCGCCACGTCCACCGCCAGGCCGTCGACCAGCACTCCGTGCTTCTTGAATGCATGCTTGGCCTCCGCATACATGTGACTGGATTGCAACAAAGCCTGGATACCCGTGTGGTTGGGGAACGTGCAATCGTGCGTGTGTTTGGTGGGTGGGTGGGGCAGGGGGCAAACAGTGCATGACTGCCGAGCTGCATTCCACACGTCTGCTCCGCCACACATCCTACATTGTGCACCACCCCTCAGTCACAGTGAAAGGAGCCCAAGAAAAAGTCACCTTGGACGGAATGCACCTGCAGGGAAATGGCACGAAACAATACAAATGTCTATCGCAACCGCTCGCCGGAAGGGAGAACAAGTTGCGATTAGGGCCTCTAGGGCGTCTAGGGTCTCGAGGGCCGCCTTACCCCACGTTCAAGCACGTGCCTCCCAGCGCGCCCCGCCCCTCGACGCAGGCCACCTTCAGCCCCAGCTGTGCCCATCACATAGCCTCCCGGCCCTCCACCAATAATGACGACATCCTTGACGCCCTGCGGTGGACTCGTTGCAACGGGTTTCAGGGGCATCGCGAGTTGCGCGAGACATGATCGGGGCGTGCCCATAGGTTACCCAACGCTACCGGGCTTGTCCACACCTGATCCGCCGCTACAGCAGCTAGGCCCCGAGCAAGGGAGAGGTGTGACCCTACGGTAGCCCAACGAACGACGCTGAACGCATCTCATGAGCAAGCGACAGCATGGCTGTTAGACTAGCGCACGGCTTACAAAACAGACGCGTAATCGCTGCCCGCGGTGTACTGCCTTTGCTGAACTACACCTCTCTGCGGACCTCAGGCTCAAAACACGTTACGTCGGCCCGGTTCGACGTGTTGTTGCGATGTGGGGAGCGGCCGGAGGTCTGGTCGGCGTCGGCTTGGACGACGACACCATCGCCCGCTTCCTGGATGATCTCGACGATGGGCTCTGGCTCGAGGTGCGAGCTGCTGCAGGGGAAAGAACCCGCCGGGTGCGGGAAGGGGGGTGGAGCCTGGCCCTTGGACTTCCATCCATGGAATCATTGCAAGCTCTGGTTTACAGCTGGTGTGCTCAACCCGCTGCCCAACGTTTGTGTGCTCAACCCGCTGCAGGAGCCTCCAATTCGCTCCATGGAGCCGCCAAGACTGCCCCGGGCTGTGCTGCTTGCCGGCGTGGTGTGGCGAGGGCCACCCTGCAACGCCTGCAGCGATGCCTGCCGTGTGGTGAGTGCACCTCTGGCGAGGGATGCCGTTGCTTTTAATCAAAAAGGGCAGCTTGGTCTTTGCAAGAATGATGTCTTCTTGGGTGGCTGCAGGTGCCGCCCGACCGGTGGGATGTGGATATCGGGTGGCTGGGAGAGGGCTCCTTGCCCAAGCGATTTGGTAGCTTTTTGGAGGGAGCCGAACTGTTCGACTACAAGTTCTTTGCTCTTTCCTCGCAAGAGGCATGCTGCTGCCGCTGAGAGCTGCTGTAACCACCGCATCACCCGCTCGATGTGCCCCTCACGCTCGCACATCTCAACCCCCTCCCCTGGTTTCTCCCACAGCATATTGCATATGTTGGCCACTGCCGTGTTGCAGGCCACTGCCATTGATGCCCAGCAGCGGCTGCTGCTGGAGGGCTGCTGGGAGGCGATGGCCCATAGCACACCAGGCAGTGGCGCCGGGGAGGCATGCAACGACGCCAGGGCAGTGGGCGTCATCGTGGGCATCAGCTACAACGAGTACTACCTCAACTCTGCACATCAGGGTATGTCGGCCTACACCGCTACCAGCGGCACGCTTTCAGTGGTGTGCGGACGCATCTCATTCACCCTGGGACTAAAGGTGAGCAGTGCCGCGTAGAGGACGCGAGCATATCGTAAGTGGGGTCCATTGCGCATGCTTACTGGCAACTGACAAGATGCGGTTGCAACGGGCATAACTCCCGCACGCGCTCATGACCCCTCTCGCCCTGCCCGCCCTGTAAATCCCGCGCGTGCTCGTGACCCCTCTCGCCCTGCCCCCCCTTAATGCCAAAAATCAGACTGCCCTGCTTATCCATTGTTTGCCAGGGTCCCAGCGTGAGCATCGACACTGCGTGCTCTTCGTCCCTGGTGGGCGCCCATCTGGCCTGCACATCCTTCATCCCCGGTGGCTGCTACCGCTCACTAGCAGCTGGCGTCAATCTGACCATGCGTGCCGAGACGACCGCTGTGCTCAGCAAGGCAGGCATGCTCGCTAGCGACGGGCGCTGCAAGACGCTTGATGCTGCTGCTGATGGCTACATGCGCGGCGAGGCATGCATAGTGCACCTCTTGGAGGCCCTGGCTGCCTCAGATGGTGTTGCAGGCTCGGTGCTGCTGCCGGCTGCCATCATCGTCGGCACTGCGGTGAACCAGGATGGGCGAAGCAGCAGCTTGACAGCTCCCAACGGGCCCAGCCAGCAAGCTGTAGTGAGGGAAGCGCTGGCGTGCAACAGTGTGGCAGCCTCAGACGTTAGCGTGCTGGAGATGCACGGCACAGGTACCGCTTTGGGCGACCCCATTGAAGTGGGCGCGGCATTTGCTGTGTTTCAGGTGATCTACCTGCAAGACAATCACCTGGCAGAGGCAGGGTACCGTGGTCTTTTAGCTCCCACACAACTTAAGTTTTTTGCAGACTGTTGGCAATCATCCATTGGAACTTCAAGCTGCCAAGTCACGTGTTCTACACACTGAGCCTGCTGCTGGTGCCGTGGGCGTTGCTGCCCTTTCACTGCACTTGGGACAAATGGGCAGGTGTGAGCTGTCAATTTCTTTTTGACTTCATGGATGCTGGCTACCACCAAACACAAATCTATACAACTACTCCATCATGTATTCAGTGATGGATACATATCTCACTGCTATCATCAAAAACAAAGTTGAAGAACAAAACAAACTCGTCACGATCACACCTCATGTTTCACTGCCTGCAGGCATGACATCCTGCACTTGCGCACAGTCAACCCCCACGTGAGCAGTGTGCTTCAGAGCTACGCTCACCAATCAGATACTCGCGGGTGGCTGGCGCGCCGACAAGGCGCCCCCGTGCTTCATAGGTAGGTCGCTGCTGCACAGGCCCGATATGCGTTAGTCGTCACATAGATGGATTGCAAAATGGAACCCGAGTGTTGGGGTACCGGAGCGGGTCCATTCATTGCCTCATTCTTACTGGCCTGACGAGTCCCTTGTTCGCAGCACCCCAGAGATGCATGGCAGTGTAAGCTCCTTCGCATATCAAGGCACCAACTCGCACGCTGTGCTAGGTATGACATGCCCCATGTCTTGTACCGCTCCCCAGACTTGGTCGTGGCAGCACAGGCGACTGTGGTACCAGATCAGCAGTCACCCGCTGCTATCACAGTTCATCCGTGGACAGTCAGGCACAGCCACTGCCACGGCACTAGCAAACATTCGCATGCAGTGCAGTCTGCAGCGGCCGGCTCTTTCCTACCTGTTGCAGCACAGCGTGTGCGGCCAGGCACTGGTGGCCCCCACGGTGCTGTTAGAAATGGCTGCTGCGGCGGGCCAGCTCCTGTGGTCACAAGAAGAGATAAACAATCCAGTGGCACTAACCGCTTTGGTCATCAAGCAACCGGCATTGCTATTGGATGGCACTGTTAATCCCACGTTAAATTGCGACATCAGCCCGGCCAGCGGTGGCATAATAGTCGGCAGCGGGATTCTGCCCAGTGGGGAAGCAGCTGCTCATATTCACGGGCGCCTGCAAGGCATTGACACTGCAGTTACCCGGCTGGAGGTTGACGTTTTGTCAGTTGATGCTTGGTTGCTGGAGTCGCAAGGGGCAAACCGAGCCACCAACCTGCCACCCCACGGCCCAACTGATTTGAATGGGATGGCATCCCTGTTCAATCCAACAGACAGAAAGAGAACCTGGGCGCTGTTTGGTTCAGTCTGTGTTAAAGAGCACCGTAACAGCAGTTGCTGGATCCACCCTGCTGTCGCAGATTCGTCGCTGCAGTTAAATGCCACGGTTGCGTCACAATCACAGATTAGATCAGTGGGTGGAGCAGTGTTGGCAGCGTGCGGGGCATACGCACCCATGCGCCGATTGGCAGCTAGTAGCGCTGCCGTAGGAGCTGCAGTAATGCAGGATGGAGGGAGTAGCAACACATGGCTCCTCAGTTTGAGGCAGCAGCTGTTAGCAACCTTGGGCAATCAATTTAAGGCGCTGAAAGCAGCGGAGACCCCTTCTCCATCGAGTGGCGCTGTATCACCCTGCGGCCTGCCAGCCATTAGTAATGTTTGTAGACCCCCTCCAATTGCCAATCTTGACGGCATTACTCAGCAGCTATCAGAAATTGTTGCACATATTCTAGGTACAGATGGTGTTCCTGCAGATCAACCTTTAATGGACGCAGGACTTGATTCTACGGGTAAGCTGTAAGCTATTTCAAACCTAGTAAAAGTAGTTCAATTGCTTGTTTTGCATCGTTTTCTGTTCCTTAGTACAGTCACTTCTTCTTTTACTTGCTTTGTGTTTAGGGATTGTGGAGCTAACAAATGCTGTCCAAGACGTTTTTCGCATTGATGTGCCTGCCAGCATCACTTTTGATTACCCCACTGTGCTTGCTTTGGCAGACTATATTGCGAGTGAGGGATTAGCATCCACACGGCATCAAAAGGTACTGTGTGTTGTGTCCAGTTGCAATAAAATGCCGTCTTCTGAGCAGACTCGGCAATTAACAAGCGAAGTTATTGGATGGGCTTCCTCCATGGCATCTAATGGCAACGAGGAAACAAGTGTGCTTTGCTGAATTGCGCAAGTTGTATGGCGTAGTGTTGACCCGCTCTATAAACATATACTAAATTTTATTTGCCTGGTGGTGCAGGCATTGTTCGACGCATGTTGACCAGCGTAGATTGCGTTGCGCCTGTGCCCCTTGAGCGATGGGATATTGAAGACATGGGTGGTGGCAAAGACAAATTGCAGGTTGCAGCAACGACGATCTGCTGTCACTGTCTGCTGCAATTGTCGTAACTTGCATATGTGCGAATGCAGGCCAGTAAGGTCCGCTTTGGAGCTTGGATTGATTGCATATCTAAATTTGATGAAGGAGTGTTCCGATTGTCAAGAGCTGAGGCAATCGGACTTGATCCGCAATGCCGCATGCTATTGGATAATACATTTGCAGCCTTCCAGGTTGTTCGTTATGGGCAGTAGGGAGTGCACATACTAAATTTCCATTCTCCTTCAAACGTCTCACGTTCTTGCTTCAAAGACAGTGCAGGATATCACACCCCCCGTCCCGACCACAATACCTAGCAGCTCTCGCGGTAGAGTGGGCACGTATGTTGGGTGTGTATGGGATGAGTATCAGGAGTTGCAAAACGAGCATTGTATCCAACTGAGCATCGCGGCATTGACTGGCAGTGGCCTGAGCTTTCTTGTGGGTCGATTGGCATACGTGTTTGATTTCCAAGGTGGGCCTTCCTTTTGCCCTACACGAGGCACTGTTTTTAACTGCTCCTTCCAAAATTTTCTAACTGTAGATGTATGCTATGCAGGACCCTGCATTGGTTTAAACACTGCTTGCTCTTCCTCGCTTGTGGCTGTCCACCTTGGTCACCATGCTCTCCAGGATGGAGAAGCAACTTCATCAGGTGGACTTCCATCGAGGGTGCTGTAAATGCCATATGACCAGTTGCAGCCAATCTGGGTATAGTCAGCAACGCTTTGGGCCCATTCTGGCGCTCCCATCGCCTGCGTCAGCTCGCTGCATGGCTTACTTGCACTTTTTCAGCAACACGCCGTGGAGTCCATTTATGGCGCTCCCATTGCTTGCTTCAGCTCGCTGCATGGCTATTTGCACTTTTTAGCAACACGCCGTGCGTGTACTACCACTTAATAGCTCCAACTGACCGTGTTCCGTTTGTCCTGCTTGCATTTCTTGTGCAGTAACAGCTGGTACCAATGCTATACTATTAGAAAGCACAAGCAGACACCTTGCTCAACTGCAAGCTGTTTCAAGTGATGGGCGTTGCAAGACGTTTGATGCCACTGCCGATGGCTATGGAAGGGGAGAGGCATGCATTGTGTTCGTGGCATGCTCCCCTGACAACAACCAGCACCCATTGGCAGTGATGCATGGTAAGTTAGCATGCACATCTCCTACTGTGTTGCTATACGTACAGTAACCAGTACAGATCACAATATGAAAAGATGAAAGGATATTGTTACCTTTTGCCACAATTTATCCTCAGGTTCTGCATACAATCAAGATGGCCGCAGTAGTGGCCTAACAGCACCGAGTGGTCCAGCCCAAACTGCATTGGTTCGCATTGCATTGAAGAAAAGCAATGCTCTGCCACACCTTGTCGGTTGGGTTACTACGCACGGCACTGGCACACCGTTAGGAGACCCAATTGAAGTAAATGCTCTTGGACAGGCGCTTGCCGCATCGGCCCAGCATGTTACTCTATGTAAGACGCAGTAGGGCCCCAGCATGTCAATTCAATGATTGAGGATTTCTTGACATTGCCCTATTCATCTTGTTTTACGAGTTTTATCTGCTTTTTTCCATGCAGGCTCTCTTAAAGCATCATTTGGCCACACCGAGGGCACTGCAGGAGTTCACGGCATGCTGATCACAACATTTGGCTTGCAATACTCGTCAACTCCACCCAACATTCACACTCGAAACTTAAACCCATACATTTCCTCTGCTTTTCAGCAATGGCATGGCTATAACACTGTACCATTCGTAGCAAGGACACCTGCATCCTGGCATGCAGCAACCCTCTCAATGGCTGGGTGCAGCTCCTTTGGCATGACAGGTGTCAATGCACATGCTCTTTTTTCAGCCATACCCTTCCAGTTTCATTGTTCATACTTGCTGATCTGGCATCGACAGCGCGAGTGGCCAGTGCCTAGCAATCATCCACTGCTGAAATCTCTGGTCTGGAAGCATGAGGTCGGCCTTGCTAGGTAGAGGAACCTGTTGCTACCTGCATAGTCGATCTAATTTGTTCATCAAATTGTCAAATCTTGACCATCAACTTGCATAATTTTCAGGTTTCAATGTTGGTTGTCACAACCCATAATGGCTGACATTTACGACCACACAATCCAAAAGACTAGCATATTGCCTGGTGCCAGCATGCTGGAGTGCTGTATTGCAAGGTAGGGCCACATCGACCATTGCAGAACCAAATGAGCAACTCCTACAACTGTTATACTATTTTTCTGTAACGTTTTGTGCAGTTCATATATTCTCCTGTCAGAAACTATCGCGATGCATACTGTTTGTTTGGTCGATTGCTCAATTCCGTCGCCGGTGTTGATACATACTACAATGCCTGGTCTGCTGGATTGTGATATAGATGTTTCTGGGATTGTGCGCCTTCATACCAGCAATGCGCAAACGAACATGGCTGCAAAACTACACTTTCATGCAATTGTACATAAACTTGCTGATTATTGCTGTACACAGAGCATCAGCCCAAATAATGCAGTTGTATGCAGCAGCTGCAAAGCGCCAAATTTTATGCCAGCCATGGAAAACATCAGTGGAAGATTGAGATCTTTGCTGGCTAGCATCAACGCTGAATACAGCAGATTTGGCACAAGCAATGTCGATTTGGACTTTCAGTGGCGCGGTAATGGCTGGATTGTACACCCAGCTATCATTGACAATGCATTGCAACTTGGTCCAGCTACTGCCAGTATTGAGAAGATGAATAAGTCAACATGGGTTGTTGCCGGCATAGGTTTCTTTGCTACATGGCAGGCAAGGGGTCATGAAATGGCTTGTTGTAACCGCTATCTATTGCACTTACTCTTTTTTGTTTTCACTTTCAGATGCCTCAATGGGGAGCAGTATCATCATCTATGATACGAGAACAAACAAGAACAGTAGATGTCATTCGCACATCTCACTGGTGTTCTTCAGGAAATGGGCACTTCATACACGTTGATGAGCTACAAGCCAAGACCATCCACCTAGCAATGGATTATCAAAACATAATTTCAACTAGCCTTGATTGCCATCGGATGATTTACGAGACAGAATGGCAGGCACTGGAAATTCACGTGTTGCCAGAGGAGCACAGCCTTTTTATTGACCCGTGGAGGCTGCAACCAAAGATATCGATACGTCCAACATTTGGTCCATCCACAGAGTTTGTAGTAACTTGCCCAAATTGGCCAGCAGCTGAAACATGTGAATCAGCTGCTGCAATGCTGACTTGTGCATCGATGACGATGTTGCTTCAAACAGCAGAAGCAGGCCCGGGTGGAGCAGTGCAGCTAGTATCCCAGGCAGCACAATCTGCGGGTCGTACACCATCGGGACGTGGTTGCAGTGTCCCTGTGATGGGCATGTCAAGCATGATGCGCGTAGCTGCAATGGAATTTGGTGAAGTTCATTGGGCTTGGACAGACAGGGACGATGCCTACCCAGCTCTGACACCAAGGTATGTGAAGGATCCAGTAATGTGTGGACAAGAAACTACGAGCCTCTGTGACCAAACATACCTGCTAAAGTTCCATTTTTACCTGTTGCAGTGGTGATGTTCAAAGTCTTTGGCAAATGCCTGACGGGCAATCAGACATGTATGGGCGCTTCCTGCAAGCCAATACCTGGGTAGCGCCGCGGCTTCTGGGCCGGGACCCTGGCCAAACGGACAAGGTACATAAAGGATACATACATATGTTGTCATACAATGTCCAAACCTCTCTGTTGTGTATTGAAATTAAATGAGTTTTGAAACTGCAGGGTGGTTTTCTTTCAAGTTCAATGGCTGCAAGTTTGTTGAGTGGAACTTTTGTAGTCACAGGCGGGTTTGGCGCTCTTGGAACTTTCGTTGCATTGTGGCTCAATGGTCTTGGGGTGTCTGACGTTCAGCTTTTGGGACGATCCGGTCGAACAAGTGAGCGACACAACCATGCAATAGAAATGTTCGAAATGTGAATTGCCCATCCACACCAAGATAACGTCCCCGCAGGTGGAAGATCAATGGCTGCATATCTTTTAGGAAGCAACTGTCGACTGGTGTGCTCAAAGGGGGATGTGGCATGTTCGGAAGAAACCGATTATGTCCTGACTTCTGCGAACAGGTCGAAAGATAAAGTACTGCATGGTATTATGCATGCTGGCGCTGTCCTGGACAGCAAGATAATTGCTAATATTGCCATAAGGAGCATACGAAATGAATACTCTGGTGAGTAAGTTGGATATGCTAAGTTTGATGCAGTCAAAATAATGTTTTCATCATATTTGATTTATTATTATTAATTGTTTTTTTTTGTTTCAATCCCAAGTTAATTGCCCCTTACATGCCCTAGCAGGCAAGGTGTATGGAACACATCATCTCCTGCGGCGGTCATTTACATCAGCGTTATCAGTGTGTAAATTGTTCTCATCACTTGCTGCATTTGGTGGAGCTGCTGGGCAAGCCAGTTACGCAGCTGCCAATGGATCACTTAATGCATGGGCAAAGAATGCACAGGTACGCCGCCCGCCAGAGCCATGCACACATACATACAACACACCAAACATTTCGGGCTCAAATGCAACAGGGCCAAGGACATGTTGGTTTAGCCGTGCAATGGGGAAACTGGGACGGCGGGGGTATGGCGGTGAATAATAAAGGATTCATTGAACGCATGAAGCGCATTGGTTTGGGCATGAGTAAGCCAAGTTATCACTTCAAAGAGGACACTTGTTAAGATCGCAATGACGCGATGTTGATGAGTGCCCAAATGCAGTTGATCCTGACGTGGGTTTGAGTACCATGGCATGCCTTTTGCATCAGGCAGCCAGCAATACAAATAAATGGAGCTGGCATCAAGAAGTGTTCATTGGCACCGTTTTTCTGTGGGACATCATATTGCAAAAGTTTGTACATATCCCTATGTACTTTCAGGAATTTGAGAAGGGAAGGTGCGATGCTTTGTTCAATCTTTAATTAATTGCAAATTGGTGCTCAGATTCAGCAGTTTCACCTTTCATGCAGTCCGCTAGATCAGCAAAATTATTCAGTGCAGACACCGCCATACTTGCGAATGACTACTGGTGCATTACATACAACAAATGTTGTAAAGGTTCTACACCCAGTGCCTCAGTATTTGGAACAGAAGCAGCATCACATGCTAACACATATCCTTAACATCATGGAAGGCTTGAGCATACGTAACGTCTCAGCAGACCAACCTTTCATGTTGGACTCCATAGGTCTGATTGTATATTGCGTTGAATGAAAAGCAAATGAATGTGGCTGAATAACAATATTTAAATGCTGGTTGTACAGGTGTTGTACAGCTACGGAATCAGGTAGCAACCTATTCTGGAGTTGAGGTTCCTCCTACTGCCATTTTCGACCACCCAACACCCATTGAGTTGGCACGTTTCGTGGTGGGACAAGTTTCCATGTCTGAAACGCAGATGCCCAATTTTGCCAAAATAGCAAAAGGACAAAAACAAACATTAGGCATTCAGACAGTATCCATTGTCAACTCTAGGGTTTTACGAGATGGCATTGTTGCACAGATGTCAGCTTTAGTAAGAATGATTGTAGGGCATGATGTTGGCGTAGACGAGCCCCTTATGGCAGCTGGACTAGACTCCTTAGGTGAGCATGCGCTCCACTTATGTTCTTACTAGATTTGACTTGCACAACATTGATATCCAATTATTAGTGTAGGCTCTGTGCATCTCCGTGCGTCCATTTTGGAACAATTCTCTGTTGATTTACCTGCCACTGCTGCCCTAGACTTTCCTACAATAGCTGCTCTTGCCGGGCGTGTTGCTGCATGCAACCCGACTCATGCTGACATGTCTACTGTGCAACATAACAGCCTTGATCCCAGCAACATTTCTGGTATGTTTTTAGTTCAATTGTTTTGCCAACAGACGCTGCAGGCACATTGTTGATCTTGCCTTAAGAGTGTTCAAACCCACTCATTTGCCTGCAGGCAACAACAATCCAGTGACTGGGATAGTGGGTCTCAGTTGCGCATATCCTGGACCAGCTGCAGCGGATTGTTGTTGTGATTTCTGGGAAGCTGCTGTATTGGGGGAAAATATTCAAACAACAATTCCCTACAACCGATGGGATGTTGAGCTCCATTACTCTCCTGAAATCAATGGTCTGCGCTGAGCATTGTGTACTTGTTGTTTGATCTCTTGTCTTAAGTTCTAATAAGTTCTTTTTGCAGTCAATAAAATGAATGTGCGCTTTGCTGGATTCATCTCCAATTTGGAGTTCTTTGATTCTGAAATGTTTAGGTGAGTTTGTTAGTTGTTGAACAAGAGATGGTTGTTTCTGTTGCTGATTGGATCCACGGATAGCAGGTTTGGCCGTAACGAGGCAAAAGTGATGGACCCCCAGTCTCGCTTAGTACTTGAGCACATGCATCATTCATTTATCGATGCTGGCACAAGAACTGGGCAATCGATCGCTCAAGATGCAGGAGTGTAAGTTGTTACTGTCGGTGTACTGTGCGTGCTCTACCTAAATGCTTTGAATGGTAAAGCATGCTGCAGATATGTTGGTGTCATGCATATCGAGTTCTTATCTTACCTGAGTTATATGGGCATTGCGATAAGCCCAAATGTTGTCACTGGCAATGGAATGGACTTTCTTGTGGGCAGACTGTCTTACACATTTGGCCTCTCCGGCCCTTGCCTCAGGTATGGATGAGCTCCGTTGTAATGTGTGTTCCGGGACTAATGACCAATTTTCCATTGCCTGCAGTACAAATACAGCCTGCTCATCTTCTTTAGTTGCCACACACCTGGCTAATGCTGCTCTCGTTCATTGTGAATCTCATGCTGCTGCCAGTTGCGGTGTTTTCATGGTGCTGTTACCGGGAACCATGGCCGGCATTAGCCAACTTAAGGTGCAATAATTGCATTGATTGATGTAATGTCCAATCTTTCTGATGCCTGTTAACCGTTGCATGTATAGTGCAGGCTTTGTCCCCGGAGGGGCGTTGCAAGACACTTGATTCTTCTGCAGATGGCTATGGTCGTGGGGAAGGCTGCACTGTTGCTACAATTGAGTTAGTCGATCATGGAAATTTGGCAATTGCATTCATATGCAATACCGTTGTTAATCAAGATGGCAGGTGTAGCAGCCTGACAGCACCCCATGGTCCTAGTCAGGCAGCACTCATCACTCGAGCATTGTCCAATGCTGGTATGCGTTGATGGCAAGGGTGCTAGCAAGCTGACTTTGTATAACTTTCATTTGAGTTTAAACTTCATTGTGGGATGCAGGAATGCCTCCGAGTATTTTGAAATACTTGGCAATCCATGGGACGGGTACACCGTTGGGTGACCCAATTGAACTGAGTGCCTTAGGCCAAGCGCTAAGCAATGCATCTGGTTTGCAGTACTTGACCATTGGGTCAGTGAAATCATGCTACGGGCACACTGAAGGTGCTGCTGGGCTCACTGGAGTCCTTTTACTGTTGTATGCCATGGGGAATCAGGTACATCGATTGACTAACTGTTACCGTTTTTGAAAATTTGCAACCTTGCCTTCCCTTTTAATCTTGAGACCTTTAAGCTGATGCAGTGTACAACGCCCACTATGAACTTGCGCCATTTGAATCCTTATGTGGATTCATGTATCAATGATTGGCAGAAAATGTGCCACCTGTATTCCCATGCTTCCCGTGAAGCTGCCCCCTGCGACATTCCCACACCGCAAAAGCTGGCGGGTACTAGCTCTTTTGGCATGAGTGGTGTCAATGCCCATGCACTAATCAAAGGGTCTGGCACTGTCGGCCAGGAGTGTAGGTATGCAAAACCCAGCACCATACGGAAGGAATGGCTCTGGTGCCTAACACCAGCGTATTACATCCTGGGAAAAAACACACCAGCCAGAACAGTACAAAAATCTACATTTATGTTAAGCACGTGCAAACCTGAACTTGCCTACTTGAAAGATTACAAGGTAAACACGCACTAGTGCTGTAACACATTTTCAGCACAGCTTACGATGTACTTGATCGTGCAGATTGAAGGCCAGGCTCTGCTTCCATCGAGCGCAATGGCTGAAGCCAGTGCCGCTGCTTGTCTCACGCTCCTTGACATCCAGCAGCGAACCCAGTTAACGTTGTGCAACACCTGCGTGAATCCAGTATTGTTGGTCAAACACTCCGCAGTTCTTGAGGTCAACATAAATTACACCAATGGGGACATGCAGATGCAGACAGTAACAACTGCCAACACTATCACACTGATGAACTATACTTGTGGCTTAATTACACCGGCATGGCCTGATTTTGAACAAGAGCTTTCACATATCACTGCTACAGACAGAATGAAGCACACCACTAATCTAAGTGCCCTTCTGAACACCTTGTTGTTGAATAAATGGGTTGTAGTATCTGACATTTTCACATCAAATGTTGATCAGCACCCAGGATATTGCCTGGAGCCAACGTCATTGGATGCGATCTGCCAATTGGCCTGCGCTTTGACGCGGCGATCTGCGTCGCTGAAATTGCCAAATTTTGAGAGCATTTTGATAGTGCAAAGTAAATCATACAATAATATTAAGCAAATGTCTGCGGCACAGCTAATTGCGGCAAAATCAGGTGACGAGACCCACATCGCCGTCAAATGCAGCCATACCCACCACACGCCTCCGCAGCAATGTCTGTTTGCACTTCGCAAAATTCAGCTTCAGTCAACTGGCAACGGCGATGGGAATTCTGATATTGACAGACAGCAGCAGGATTGGCTCTATTGCCTGGAATGGACAGTTTATGGCAACGTTACAGCAGCACTTGTATTCAAGGCCGCAGAGGTCAATTGTGTTCAACTTGCCATGGCTGATGGCCATGCCAGTACGGTTGCGACTGCCATTGCAGTTGGGCAGCAGGCATATGTTGGTGGCGCTCATTGTATTGCCCTTCTCACTCGAGGAGCATTATCAATAAGTGGAGCTGCATGTGTCGTTCCTAATGCTAATCTGCAAGCAATAGGGATATGGGCCTTTGCTAGAACAATTGCTCAAGAATCAAGAAGCATTGACGTGCAGGCTTTAGATCTGCAGCAGCAATATGCAGGCAGCCATGAAATGAAAACAGCACTGCTAGCTGCCACGAGTATCACGGACAGGTTACTTCCTGCGCAAGTTCATGGCAGTGCATTTGGACACACACTACAGGGCGGAACCATGGCCGCTTCAGTTCTTCAACGCGTCTCTGTCAACCGCAACACTCCAGCCACATTGCTGTTCAACAATGCCACTTCTCTGACACACAGACAGGTGGTGGTAGCAGTCAAGGCTATTTTCCAATATTCCCGCCCTGTACATCCCCTGCACTTCTCTGACTCACCTGGAGAATCTTCTGGACTTGTCCATTGGGCGGGCATTATTGTTGCTTCCGATCCAGACGAGGACCACCTAAGGCCTGGCGATTCTGTGTTTGGGTTAAACAGCTGCTGCATAGGAGCACACATCCAGACGTGCGCTCAAAACGTTTTTCATGTAAGCCGGCCATGCTTGATGGTGGTGTGGTGCCTCCTGTCCTGCTTACTTTTACTAATGCAAGTCAACCATACATGATGTAACTCCTTCTTCTTTGTTCTTACAGATGCCTATCAATACATGCTTCAGAGATGCTGCTTCTACCTCAATGCTGTATGTAACTTTGGCAGTTGCTTTGCGGGATATGGCCTCGGTGCAGCCAGGCGACAACGTGCTTGTGCACATGATGGATGGGAGAACAACAGCTTTGACAGCACAGATTGCTGCTTCATTGGGCGCTGCAGTATTGACAACCGGGGGAAATATCTGCGACCGAGCATGGTTGCGTGGCCTAGGTGTTAAACATGTCATGAGTTCTTGCTGCGAAGCAATCATTTCAAACACACTCCAATTAGACACTCCGTCTGTTGTGATCAAGAGTTTTGCTGAAAGCGACACGAACGCAGGCTGTCTGGCAGCACTGCGGGCTGACGGCAGGTTTGTCGTAATCAATGATTACAACATGTGGAGTAAAGAGCGCGTAGCACAAGGTACGCTGCAATTCTGGCTACCATGGTATCATGCAAATTGAATTGAAAGATTTTGTTTACATTGATGAATTACAGAGCGCCCAGACGTTTCTTACCGTGCATCATTTATGGAGAGGTTGCATGTATCTATGGACCTTCAACCTCTTGTGTATCAGATGTTGGCTGACTTGACGTTCATATTGCGAGGATTCACTTTTTTGACAAATTGCAACATTCCTATCCTGGGCACAACATTTGATGCGGGAGTTGAAAAGGTGAATTGAAAGTCAGTGGCTTCCAAGAGTCAGACAATAAAGAGAATGACATACTCAGTTGATGCATGTAAATCTGTGCAGGGGTATGTCGTCGTCACGGGGGGTCTAGGCATGATGGGGTCTTTGGTGGGCATTTGGCTAGCGATGGAGCAAATGCCTCAAATTGTGCTTTTGAGTCGAAATGCGAGACCTAGGATTGAAACTGCTACCGTGCTACAGTTGGGCAGTGGCGCCGCCGCAGCATTTCACATTATTCAGTGTGATACCTCAAACGCAGAGGAAGTTTCTGTTGTCATGGCATCCAATCAAGGTCGGAGGAGACTGCTGGTGAGGTTGAACTTTGAAACGTGCTAGCAATCAAGCAAACATAAGCCTGGCTAACACAGTGCAATCTGACGCCATAATTGCTTTCAGGGTGTTGTTCACTGCGGAGGTGTGTTGAAGGATGCTACAATTCCTAATCAGAGCCTTCTTTCCATACGTTCCAGCTTTGCCCCCAAGATTTCCAGCGCCTATCATTGGCAACTGCCAGTGTCCTTGAAGGCTTCAACGCTTCATCTCACGTGTTCGTCAGTTGCGGCACTTCTCGGATCGCCCGGTCAAGCAAACTACAGTGCAGCCAATGCTGTGTTAGATGGGATGGCTTTGGATCGGCAGGCCCAGGTTTGTGCCTGCCGGTCCAAAGCGGTAATAACACATACAAAATTATGTAACATCTCAAGTTGGTGCAGCTTTTTCACCATGGTGTAATTTGCATAAAATTGCAGGGGCTCGCTGGAATGAGCATTCAATGGGGAGCTTGGGCCGAAGGTGGCATGGCAGCAAGCAATGCAGCCATTGCAATAGCTGTTCAGCGCCTGGGTATGGGCATGATTTCCCCAGCCCAGGGCATGGCAGCATTCCAGTTGTTTATGTTAATGCACAGCGCGACAAGTTTCCCAGGAGTGATAGTAGCTGTGCCCTTTCGGTGGGAGAAGTTCATCAGACAGCTTGATACATCCGCTATTCCTTTCGTTTTGCATGGGGTGGCAACACCAACCTGCAGTGAACATGAACATGAGACAGCAATGCTTGGACATACATGTGGACACCCTGATATTTCTAATGGGCGTGCCCCCTCGGCATCACGCCAGACGTCAGGAACCCCATTCTTCAACCACACTGAATCCAGTACAACAAAAGAGAAGACCAAACATATAACTGAGCAGCTTTTCAGTTTAGTGACGATAATGATTGGCACTACAATAGATCTACAGCAGCCTTTGATGGAAGCTGGGCTGGATTCTTTGGGTAAGTGAAAACCTCTGCATGTGCAATTAACTACGAAGCCATCAACCGTTTGCCGACTATTGAATTGAATAAATATTCCATATCAGCAGTGCTCGAACTACCAAATTATCTAACTACCAAATCAACTCACAAGTTAGCCCTGCCTTCCAGGTGTAATGGAGCTCTGCAATAACATTAATCTTGTGTTTAATGTCAACGTACCACCCACTGTTTTGATTGATTACCCAACCATTTCAGCCCTATCTGGCTACCTGGCACAGGCCACATCTGATTGTCCCGATACCTATTCAGTGTCACTGGCATCGGGATTCGATGACAGTTCTGCTCATCTTGCAGTAAATAGAATGAATGCAACTGTTGCATTGGTGGCATCTAGTGGCACGGTGCCTGGAAGTTATTCTATGGAGCTAGTTTTGGATGCAATATCAGGTAGGACTTCCACGTGGAGCTTGCTAGCGAGCTATTTTCCAGTGACGAGTTCCTCGCACACAACTCCCTTGCAGTGATACCGATGGAGCGGTGGGACGTGGATGGCACTCCTTCCCCTGTGCTTGATTACAATGAAATCCGATTTGGCTCCTTTGTTCCAGATGTCCAGCTATTTGACGCTGCGGCATTTAATATCAGCAGTGTTGAAGCCGTTTACGTAGACCCACAACAGCGCCTCTTGCTGAAAGATGCTGCAGAAGTCTTGCAAGAATGGGACAGCAGGCCGCACCAAGTATCCACTAACATGCCAATCGCTCGCGAGCGCTTAGGTGTGATCGTGGGTGTTGGACCTGCTGATTATGTGAACCTTACAACTGCAACACTGCCAATCAGTCCTTATCTCATCACGGGAGGCACCATCAGTGTAGCTGCTGGAAGGTAAGTCGACCAAACCGCATGCGGGCGATAAATTTGACTTTACGGTCACGTTAGTCATACTTGGTCCGGACATGCAGAATGAGCTACACATTTGGTCTCCATGGACCAAGCATGTCCGTAGATAGTGCATGTTCTTCCTCACTAGTGGCGGTGCATTATGGGGTCTTGGACCTCCAAGCACATCACCCGGATGCAACTCTTGCGGCAGGCGTCAATTTGTTGCTTCTTTCACATAGGAGCACAGCTCTCCAAATGAATGGTAGCATCATGGCCTTGCAATCAACTTGTTTCACACCTCTGCAGCACACCATTTGTTCCAATTCCATAATTAAACGGGTGTGGCTGCCAATGCAGGCATGCTTGCTATGGATGGTCGCTGTAAAACGCTAGATGCTTCAGCAAATGGTTACGTGCGCGGTGAATGCTCAATAGTGTTCCTGCTTGCAATCGTGAGTCCATCTATGTTGGACACTCCCCAGTCTCTGCCTTCACTTCTTATTCTGGGTAGCTGTGTCAATCAAGATGGTCGCAGTAGCAGTCTAACTGCCCCTAATGGTCCTGCACAACAAAACGTGATTAAGGCAGCCCTGGTCGCTGGGAACACAGCTGGGGGCCAGGTCGGTGTGCTGGAGATGCATGGCACCGGCACAGCATTGGGGGACCCGATCGAAGTTGGGGCAGCTACACGAATATTTCAGGTACGATTTGAAATGCTGCCAACCAGACTGCTGCTATAAAGAAACCTGCAACTGGAATTTTCAACCATTTTTTAAGGGCAACGATCAATGAATAAGCCGGCTTGACTGTTCTTCTCCACTTATCATGCGTAGGATGAACATCGTAGCTATCCACTTAGCTACACTGCCGTCAAGGCAAGAGTGGGACATGGTGAAATAGGCGCTGGAATACTTGGCATGCTGCAAATGTGGCAGCAACTGGCGCATTGCATGGCACACAGCATCACGAACTTGCAGCACATCAATACATACATTTCACGCATTTTTCATGAGGAGATTAAAAGTGGGGTCATGACCCAAGTTCCACGGCAGGAAGTACCACTGACACTACCATCCAATAAGCAATGTGCTAGTATAAGCTCATTTGCTTTCCAGGTACGATGCATAGCACAACACACGGGCACTGCTACTTTCGTCTTAGTCTGCAATAACACATGATCACTTTCGTTGTAGGGAACAAATGCACATGTGGTGTTGAGCAAATCGTTCGACTTATCGAGAACCCGGCAACCTAATGCAGAGGATCCTCGAATGTGGAACCGCAAACGGTTTTGGACAGGGCCAGCACACCATTGTCTGTTGTGCTGTTGCATCCCGACTGCAGAAAGCAATCAACGCACAATAACTTTTCAAGCATACCTGGGAAGAGCACCTGGGTTTCTGCGCCAGTTTGACAATGGCATAACTCCTGCTTCTACACTGTTGGAAATTGCAGCTGCAAGCGGCAAATTAATTTGTGGGGATGCCCAGCTTCCAAGTCTGGTGGTCATTGAGCTCGCTGTGGCAGCGCATATGCAAGGCAAAGAGCAGTCTCAGCTACTGAGCTGTGCCATTGAAAAGCAATTTGCAACAGCAGAGTTGTGTCAGACTAACATATCAAACAATCGCATTACGAAACTACTTACCTACATGCTCAGAACAGTTACAGTGCAGCAATTGAAAAAAGTCTCACATAAAAAACCGGCGATACTTTTTGATTTTGTGAAACCAACGAACATGGAGCTGCCAGTGCCAATTCTTACAGCTCAGGTAGCAAGAATGGCATGCAGCGCTGTCAACAGTCCTTTGCTTCCATTCTCGTTTGAAGAAGCAGTAATAATGGCAGCTGATGATGTAGAAAGTTGCACAAAGGGCGTGAGTGCATGCTCGATCCTGAAGCCATATATCCGAACTGGCACATCGTTGACTGTCGCCTCTCCTTTCCAAACAATAATCATTAAGTCTAACACGAGCCATCGTGTTGAGCTACAGACAATCACCAGCTCAGCATACGACAGCCGTGTAATGGATATCAGTGGCCTGCAATTGACTCCAAAGCGTGGAAGACAAGCAATCAATGAGTACACATTGTTCTGGCAGCGAATGGAATCAACACAGTGTTCTGGAAGCAAAGACATTTGGTGAGCTTTTCTGGTTGCACAGATACCTTGATCATGTGATGCAGTCAATCGTGCCATATATCAGCCCAGCAGGACAGGAGCATCACTGAACTGTCGGCATTGCTGGTGAAACCGTTGCAGTGATTCAACGTGGCTGCTAGTCGGTATTGACGATGTGGCACTTTCATCGATTTGCAACGTTACAGCTGCTGATGACGTGCACAGTACGAGCTTCACATACTGGTACACCCCCATGTGGATGATACATCGCCCAACTGTCGCCTCTGAACTAGTTGGAAGTAGCAAGGTTCACCTGCATGCTCTGATGAGCATTGTGACAGCGGACCATATTCTCTGCGTGCAGCCAGAGCATTGGCATAACCGTGTCGACCATGCCACACTTTGTGGAGTCGCTCCAGCTTTCACGGTGTCAAAACAAACATCATCGATGTCAGAGAACGAGCAGCATTGGCAGCAGCTCCTGTATGTGATTAGCTTGGCTTGGGCTTACACATCGAAAGGCATGGCCCACCAAAACTGCAAGGCATCGTTCATCAGCCGAGGGCTGAGGCACCTGCCGGGCTGGTTTAGCTGCAACACCAATTTTTCGTCCGCATCAGGGGCAGCACTAGGCAGCCTGGCCTGTGGCATCGGCAAGTCGCTGTTCATGGAAAATAGGAAGGCCTATGGCGTAGCATTGGATCTTGACAACTCTGGGACACATTTGAGCACAGCACAGCTGCACTGGCTGCTTCAGCACAGCGAAGAGTACTTCTGTGCAGTGCGTGGTGGTCACCTGTTTGCGGAGCGCCTGGTTAAGCATTGGAGCCTCCCTCGCCAGCGACAGCTAGCAATACAAGCTTGCATGACGTGCATTGTCACGGGAGGCACAAAAGGGCTTGGCTGGATGTATGCACGGCAGCTGATTCAGAATGCCTGCCAGACCCTAGTGCTGACGTCCCGCAGCGGACTGCTGAGCTTAGCTGACTTTGTCTCTTTGTCAAGTCAAGGTAGGTATCAGTTGTGAATGCGAAACTTCGAAATTGTCTCTCACATACTGCTGCACCGTGGGCTCATGCAGGATCCACCACTTTTGTGGCGCATCGGGACGCATCTGAACCTGTGCATGGCCGCCAGCTTGCCCATTGGCTCCACAATCACCTGCCAGCCGTGCAGCTGTGTGCGCATGCTGCCGGCTTGCCTGGTTTCAACCTTATTGACGACCTAACATGTGAACAGTTTATCCAAGTTGTTTCACCCAAGGTAAGTTGCCATTGGCCCAGTACCTACATGGAATGTCAGCACCAGGCAACAAACCTCCCTAATTGCATGGGGCACATTACATTACATTCAAGTTTGCAGGTCATGGGTGCCAGTGCATTGGGAGGTTCCCATTTGACCGTTCTCTCTACAGTATTCTTCTCTTCTACATCAGCTGTATGGAGCCAGGCTGGTGCAGCGCACTACTCTGGATCCAATTGCTACCTTGATTATACGGCGCACGCCTGGCAGGGCGCTGGCCAGCCAGCCACATCCATCAATTTTGGCCCTTTTGGTGATATCGGCATGGCTGCTTCTCTTAGGTATGTGCCATTGCAAACGTTGTGCTTCCTCGCGTGATATGTGTTTACTGTGCGGCGTGACAGCCTTGCACATGCACAACTTGGCAATGCTTCTTGAATGCAGCGAGTCAATGGCGGCGGTAGGCTTTCGGCTTCAGGATGGAGCACAACTTTTCCCGATCTTTGCCAGATCAGCGTACCTGCCACAGAGCATCAATGCTCGACTGAGTCTCGGCAAGTTCTCCAAAATTAATACAACAAAGGGCAGGTGGGCTCTTATTGATGACCTCACAACCATTCCAGAATCGAGCGCCACTCCGCCCCAGCTGTCACAAGTGCCAGTAGCGGCAGTCTCAACACATCCTCTTTTCGCAGCAGCAGCAGGCCCTGCCAGCATGGCCACTGCCGGTAGACCACTGTTAACTCTTGGTGAAGCACAGCACATTGTGCATACCATTGCTGTTGAGGTGCTCGGAGAGGGCCAGCTGGGCAGCAGCGGGCAGCTTCCGGCAGGTATGTAAACCAATCTTTGGTCAGTGCCTGGTACTGTGACCACTTGAAACTTGCCTGCAATGCTGAGACTTCATCTACGTGCTGCCCCTCGGCATGTGCATGTACTGGCACTTCATCTACTAGGTGGCTCCAAGACATCTATCACTAGTTTGTTGCCATTGCGCTTACAGGTGGTTTAGACAGTCTTTCCGCTGTTGAGCTGTCCAACCAGATTGGCCAAGCTGTTGGGCTTGACCTTCCAAGCACGTTGGTTTTCGACTACCCATCAGTTGGCGCCATGGCTGCCTACCTCATGACCAAGATCTGGCCAAAGCATTCCGCTGTAGCCAGCGCCGACACAGCAGAACTGACCCAACAAACGGCAGTTCACAGCGCTGAGCTCCTGCTGGCAGGAGCACCCCCTGACCCCACAACAGAGCACTTTGCAATCCTTGTATCCGTCTCTGCTCGCCTTCCCCATGTCCAACTCCAAGGCAGCCCAACGTCTGCACCAGCCCTGGACGCTGTTTCAGTCGTGCCTTTTGACCGATGGGATTTGGAAGCGTCTTGGGTGAGCAGACACTGAGTGCTGCCTGCCGGACAGGATCAGACTGGCTCAAGCCTCCTTGTTTCATCATGGGCAGATTCCCTGTATTCCATTGCAGGGTAGCAAGCGGGGTTTGCGCTCCCGCTTTGGTGGGTGGCTCCAGGGGGTGGATTATTTTGATGCATCCCTGTTCACTCTAAGTGGAAGTGAAGTGGATGTCATGGATCCACAGCAGCGGTTGCTATTGGAATTGTCTTGGGAATTGGTGCCACGTCCAGACTCAGGTGAGCGGTGACTGCAAAATGACAACAAGAAGAGCTGGTTGAGCATCGCCAGTCGATTTGTGCTGCTGGTGCAGGGAGACCCGCGGTGAATGCATGTGGAATATACATTGGAATCCAGCAGATGGAGTATGGCAGCCTGATGGCATCTCACAACGGAACGCTGGGTGCCTTCTCAGGTGTGAGCAATAGCTGCTGGCATTCGATAGGTGCTGGATAGGTGCTGGTTCGGTGCTGGCATTGGGTGGGATGCTCCAGTTGTTGCTGTAATCCAACCTAATTGCCTCGCTGCCCTCCCTCTTTTTATCTGAGAAGCTACTGGGACTCCCTTCAGCGTGGCCGCGGGCCGCCTGTCCTTCATCTTTGGTTTCTCGGGGCCGGCAGTCAGCATTGACACGGCGTGCTCTTCAGCAATGGTGGGCACCCACATGGCTGCGCAGCATCTTCAACAGCACATGGGAGACGCGCTGTCTGCTGGCGTGAATCTGATGCTTGCTGAACGCACAACACTTGCTGCACAAGCTGCCGGTGAGTTGCAATATGCCTGCTGTACAATGCGTCATATAAACGTGTCATAACCATCGTGTCAAAAAGTAGAAATGAAGACCACGGCGGCCGCCACCGCCATGCACTCCCCTTCTGTCCAGGCATGCTAACCCTTGATGGCCACTGTAAAACGCTTGACAAAGCGGCAGATGGCTACGTGCGCAGTGAAGCCTGTGTCGTGCTTCACCTTTCAGCCAGCAATTCCAAAGATGCTGAAAATGGGGCATCCTCTGCACTCATACATGAAGGCGTGGTGCTCTGCGGCACTTTTGTCAACCAGGACGGCCGCAGCAGCAGCCTGACAGCACCCAATGGCCCTGCTCAGCAGCGAGTACTTCGCGGCGCACTGCAGGCAGCTATTTTGTTGCCAGAGCATGTGACTGGGCTCGAGATGCACGGCACAGGTAGGTGCTTCCTGCCTTGATCGAAGCGAACAGGCCTGGCATTCGCAACCTACCACGCAGGATCCCGTCATTGTTGTGGCATGCCTGCCTTGCTTGCGAGCTTCCCATCTGCCTGACCGCACTGCGCCTGGTCATGACATGTTGCAGGGACTGCGTTGGGCGATCCCATTGAAATTGGGGCAATCACAGCAGTCTTGCCCGGTGCTGGACTGCCGCTGCAGCTCACGGCTGCCAAGTCACGCCTCGGCCATGCTGAGCCTGCAGCTGGCAGCATTGGCATGGTGCACGCAGCTGTCGAGCTGTGTACGGTGCACAGCAGCTCCATCACATGCCTAACAACAGTGAATCCCTATGTATCGAGCACGTTTACAGAACTGACAACAATTGGGCAGCCGATCCCACACATTTCGCGCCAAGATGCTGCAGCAGTTGCACTTCCAGTCATGTCGAGCATGCGTGCCACCATGGGAATAAGCTCATTCGCATTTCAGGGTACCAATGCACACGTTTGGCCGCGGCTAAGAAAGGCCTTCTTTGAAGGCGCTGGAGCTAGTGTCTAAACCCTCCGAGAGGGCACAGGTTCGATTCCTCTCATGTCGAAACTTTGTGAGGACAAACGCGGCATAGCTGACCGGCTCAGCGCCAATCCAAGCCAATTCCTTCGGGAACGCCTAATAGAATCGCCAAGGCTTCGGCACAGGCCTCCCCGGGACCCATTCACTACTAGTGGGGGGTACTGCACTTGGCGCGTCGGGCAGATCAAATAATGGTCTAAAGCTAGACGTTAAAACCGGGAAGTTAAGCTTGTGGAGGCTCTTCCCCACCTTTACCTTTACCTTTACGTGGTGCTCGCTAGTTCTAGGGGGCTCTTCCCAACTGTTATCGGCAGCAAGGCTGGTGCCAGCTGGCGTCGGCAACGTTTTTGGTATGCAGTTCCGCAGCACCACCTCCTGGAGCAATGTCGTTTTAATGCAAAAACTTGGATGGCTTCTTTAAAGTTCAGCTCCAGCAAGGCATCGCTGGCATACTTGCACGACCACAAGGTTGCTCACCTGGAACCTGTGCATCGCCAATTTGAATCACACATCCTTGCAACATGACAACATGACGCAAACAACCTTGTTGTAACTGTGCGCAGGTGCAAAACCAGGTTCTGTTGCCAGCTACAGCAATGCTTGAAATGGTGCTGGCAGCCACCAGCTCCGCATCCCAGGTGGACGCCACACTCTGTCGGCTGGTGTTCAGTGCCAGCATCTCCTCCCCAGTGATCATGGCAATTGCTCGAGATGTGGCACTGAGTTGCTCGTTGCACCCAACCACTGGTTCGCTGGAGGTTTTTACAGAGCGGTCACCTATACCTCATGTGCACATGACGGCTCAATCAGGTGCTGGTCACCTGTCTCACGTCGCCAGTTTGAACTTCATTGCAGCCCTTCATCTTGATGTTGCAGATTTACATTGTGGATGTCTACTGTTCCACTAACACGTATGCAGGCATACTGCTGGAGTCGCTCGGCGCTCGCAAGGCTGATGCCCCATCTTTGCAATATCGCATGTTCGCTGCTTTCGTGGCATCTGCATCAGATGCCTTCGCTACAGCAATCCCCCATCTCCTTCATCCAACAGACACAGACACAATGAGCCTAAGCTCCAGAAGACGTGCCTTGGCAGCAGGGCAAGTGGACTCCTCAGACCTACTGAGGCAGCAGCCAGGTGGCTATCTCATGCATCCGGCCATCCTGGATGCTACAACTCACACGGCGGCAACTTTGCAAGGAACCCAAAAAACTGAGGCTGGCATAACTCGGGTTCCAGTTGGGGTACATGCACTGCTTGCCCGCTCGGTGCCGTTGGGCAGAACGGCACGACATTGGTGCCAAGGAACTATACTTGCTTCTGCTGGCAATGGGGTTGCTCTCACAAATTTTGCCATGGCAGTAAGTGGAGATAGCGGAATCTACATTTCTGGCTTTGAAGCCAAGCGTATTAGCCGCCATGCCTTTGGCAGTTTTGAAAAACCAACGACCTCTCGTTCATCCATTGCTCAAGTTGGCTCCGAAGATGCACATGCACGAGAGACATCGCACATGTTGGCAACGCGGGCCAATGTTTCGACACTGCAGCAATTGGTGCACCAAATTGCAGAAACGGTGTTGGGTGCTGCGATGCCTCCCGACCAGCCGCTCATGGAGGCCGGCCTGGACTCTCTGGGTGAGTGGAAGTCTACGGAGCAGGCACTGGTGGAGATGCACAGGTCGTCGCTTTGTCATGATTGGCTGTTCAAACCCCCATGTGATAGGTAATGGTATCTCCAAGGAGCATTTCACGTTGTCTGTTGCAGGTGCTATGGAGCTGCGTACATCTCTAGACGCTGCATTTGGTGTTGACCTACCTGCCACAGCGGTCTTTGACTACCCCACTGTGCGAGCCTTAACTCAGCTCATCGCACAGCTGAAGCAGGAGTCATCGGGGTATCCAATCGCCACGGAATCAGGCACAGCATCAGATCAGCACGGATTTAACACCACTGTTGCAACCAGTGGCCCTGCCTTCCACAGTGTTGTAAATGCAATCAACCGCTTGGTTCAGCGCGTGCTCGGTGCTGGAGACGCGGTTGATTCAGAGCAGCCCCTCATGGAGGCGGGCCTGGACTCACTAAGTAAGTGTGCATTCTGTATTTTTCGACAAATTGCAGCCACTGGCAATGCATGATCCAACCGTGATCTGGATTTCCACATTAGTTGGATGATGCGTTGGATGATGCGCTGCAGGTGCTGTTGAGTTGCGTACTGCTTTAAATGCTACATTCGACTTGGATTTGCCAGCAACCACAACTTTTGACTACCCTTCCGTCACAGCACTGGCAGGTTACATCACCCTGCAGCTCAAAGATGCGGCAGAGGCTCCAGCTGCGCATGCTACCGCTCACGCTGCCACAGCAGGCCAGGCTACTCTCGCCTTTCATGCTGATTATGCTGGGGTGCCTAAGCACCTCTCAAGATCTGTTGCCGCATTTCAGCCAACAATGCGATACACTGCGGTCACTGGAACCGCCGGGAGGTACCCGTGCACCTCAGAATTTGGAGGCCTGGCCCCATTTTGGCAGCTGCTCGAGCACGGGGCCAATCTGCCGCGCCTTATGCCCCTCCAGCGCTGGGATGTTGATCAGTACTATGCAACCCAAGATGAAGGAAACACGCGCACCATGTATGTGCGGCTGGGAGGATTCGTGGACAGTGTCGATGTTTTTGACCTCACCCTGTTTAGGTGGGCTTCCGTGCAGTCAAAAGCCCAGTGAGGACGACACAACCTTTGCCTCTTGACAAACTCTGGGTGGCACCTGCAGGCTGGCAGCAACAGAGGCTCTGGCAGTGGAGCCACAGTCTCGAATTTTGCTGGAGCAAGTATTCTTGGCCCTGGCAGATGCGCAACCTGCAACAGGCCCCTTGCTTGACTCGAGAACAGGTGCAACCCGGTCCTGTAATATACCGCGAATTGATTGAATGGATTAAACAAAGGATGGATAAACCCCCCCCTAAATTGTTACTTTGCTAAGCAGCATACAGTGTCGTCGCCCCATGATATGCTTCAACTGCCCTTTACACTGCAGGAGTGTATGTGGGCTGCATGTACAGTGAATACACTCAGCTACAGCACAGCTTGGGTTACAAAATGAGCCCTGGAATTGTCACGGGCAATGGCATCTCTTACCTGGTTGGTCGTGTCTCGTACAGCTTTGGTCTTCAAGGTATGCCGGAATACACCCTTCTTGGTTACTTTGTGTATGTGTATTGAGTTGCGCACGACTGTATGTAATCAGCCTGCAGACTCCCTTCGCGTGTTGCTCTCCATGCAGGACCCAGCATCAGCACCGACACCGCATGCTCCTCATCCCTGGTATCCGCGCACCAAGCGCACATGGGGCTGCTTGGGCATGAAACAGTAGCAGCAGTGGCTGCTGGTGTGAACACTATGCTGCTGCCTATAACGACTACTAGCATTTGTGGACTTGGGGCACTGTCCCCTTCTTCCCGCTGCAAGACATTTGACACGTCTGCTGATGGCTATGGGCGCGGCGAGGGTTTTGGTGTGGTTGTGCTTGCTCATGCTTCTTCCAATGCGAATTCCAGGCTGCAGCAGCATGATGCACTGGGATTGGTGTGTGGATCAGCCATCAACCAGGATGGCCGCAGCAGCGGGTTAACAGCACCCAACGGGCCTAGTCAAACTGCACTGATACTAGTTGCGCTGGCAGCTGGTTCTCTATCATCCAGTTTGGTGAGCTACATGGCTACACATGGCACAGGTGTGTAGAGTTGTCCAAGTTGCTATCGTTCACAATGTTAATCTGCCTATTCAGTCAAGCCCACTCACACCAAGTTCTCCGCCCCGCACAGGCACACCATTGGGCGACCCAATTGAAGTGAACGCGCTTGGACAGGCACTGCATCCTGCTCACAGTTCTTTGCGCGCACCACTAACGCTGGGCTCAGTCAAGTCATGTTATGGACACACTGAGGGGGCAGCTGGCGTGACTGGCATCTTCTTGGCAGCCAAGGTGCTGCAACAGCATAGCCACCCCGCTGTGCTGACCCTGCGCAGTGTGAACCCGTATGTGGAAGCCGCGTTGCGCGACTGGCGCAAGCGCAATGTTGCTGTGGCCAGCGTGCCCAAGGAGGGCAGCGCAGGCTCCATCTGGCGTCCAGAGCTGGCAGCAGGCACAAGCTCATTTGGCATGAGTGGTACTAACGCACACATCTTGCTCAGTGTGCCAAATGCCCGACATGTGCCCAACTTGATAAATATTTGGCGGCAAATGCGGTGAGTACAATGCCACACTGGCAACCCGACCGCCTGGCCATTATGCTGAGCTGGTTAATGCATGTGGACCATCCATTGTGAACAATCTCAACATGCTGGTTTTGACCACTTCTAAGATGGAACACTCGCTTTCTGCAGGTTATGGCCTGCGACAATGCCTAGCCACCTCCTTCCACGTGCTGCTGTGCATCTCCGCCAGCGCCAGTGCCGATTTGAGGCCTATCTAATGGCACCTGCCCTGTCCTTCCTTTGGGACCATCAAGTGCAGAGTAGGCCACTGCTGCCTGGCAGCGCTCTGCTGGAAATGGCCATGGCTGCGGGGCACATGCTGGCAACAAGCATTATGCAGCGTGATTCAGAGACATCGACATTACTCGCAGAGTGCACCATCCCAGCGTCTGCCACGCTGAGCGATTCACCTGCAGCAATGCAGCTGCAGCTGGTGCTGGGCCTCAGAGAAGGCAGCTACACTATAAGCAGTGTGCATTCCAGGATCACACACCTGGCTGGAGGCACAAGGAATTGCTCTCATGATCACAGAAGCAAAACATTTGCCAGTGTGGTGCCAGCAAACACAGAAACAACGGTACAGCTGTCTGCAATGCTGGCGGCAGGGCCTGTGCGTGAAGTGCGTTTGGCTTCCCAGCTAGGTTGCCTTTCAATCAACCCGGTAGTCCACACAGACGGCTACTGCAGTCACCCTGCTGTTGTGGATGGCTGCTTGCATCTCGGTGCCTCACTAGCACAGTCTTCTGAGGGCGACATGAGCCGTATCACGGTTCCAGTAGTAGTTCGCTCCTACGCATCGACTCGAGAATTCAAACCGAATGCTGATATGAATACGTATGCCAGCTGCCGGCTCAGCCAAATTTCTCTTGACGGTGCATCAGTTAGCAGCTACAGCTTGAAGTCTGCTTTTGCAAAAACAGCTGTTACTGAAATTGCAGACTTAGAAGCGCGGCCAATGAGGGTTATGGCAGCCACTCGGAAACTGCCTATCTTCGTCAGGAAAGAGAGCTCTGCAGTCGTTTCCAACGAGCATTCGGGAGAAGTGGGAGCCATTGCACCTCGCCTGCTGTATCATGTGCTGTGGGAGGCGGACAGCATGACCGGGCAGTACAATCAGGAAGCAAGACAGCAGCAGGAGCATGCCAATGCAATCGCGTTAGCCGTAAAGGTGCATATCAATACATTGATGCAGCTGGTAGCTACACCGGCCAGAAGCCACAGCAGCAGTGCAGATGCTGCCATGCCGACTTCCCAGCTGCTTAGTCTACTACAGGAGGTCACTGGCAGGGGCAGGAGAGGAACTCAAATTCGGGTTGCTACTACCGGCGCAGTGCGTGCTGGGCCCAGCTTGATGGGCCCATCAGCAGGGCATTCATCGGCTGCTGCTTGGGGCATGGTGCGTGTAGCAGCATCTGAAGTGTCTAATGCCAGATGGGCATTAGTGGACCTAGACAGCCAAGCAAGCATTAGCCAGACAGCAGCAGGAGAGGCAGTAGATGTGTCCGGCTCGCTTGTGCGGCATGGCGTGACGTTTCAGCCTGTCCTCCTTCCCTTGACATCACGTCAGACAGCAACGCCCACTTTGGAGACGGCTCAACAGACCATGATGCTGATCACTGGTGGTCTGGGAGGTGCGTGGCATGAATTTGTTATTATTATGCGGCTGGCTGAATTGAACCTGTCATTATCAATAAACAGAACGGCCGGCAGTTGAAAGGTACTACACGGGCAATCATGCACCAAGAAAATGTGATGCCTCTGCAGGCATTGGAAGCCTTCTGAGTACCTGGCTGGCATATCAACTGGGGGCACACCTTACACTTCTGGGTCGCACCGGCTACTTTACTAGCAGTACACCAGATCTGATGCTATCAGAAGCACCAGTCACTGCCCTGCGGTGCAATGCCTCCCTCACAGCTGAGGCATCGGCAGCCTTCTTCTCGAGTACCACTGCCTGCAGACAGCTGGCAGCAATTATGCATGCAGGTGGCCTACTGCAGGATGGCATGCTGCAGGCACAGAGTGCAGCCTCGGTCCGCAACGTGTTTTCTCCAAAGCTGCGCTTTGTGGCACATGCTGCCAATGCTGCGCGGACGCACGCAATGCATGTGGTCAATCTGTTCTCTTCAGTATCAGCATTCCTAGGGACGCCAGGGCAATCCAATTACGCAGCCGCTAACAGTGCATTAAATGCCTGGGCGGGTGTTTTCCAGCAGTGTGGAATAGGAGGCAAGCTGTGTGTGCGTGCATCTGTGTCCCGCATCGAAAAGAAAACCGCATAGGAGCTCAGGAGGGTATTTACTTCATGTCAATTTTGTGCAGGCAGCAGCATTCAATGGGGGGCCTGGGCCACAGTCGGCATGGCACATAGCAATGCCATGGTGCTGATGCGGGTGGATAAAGCTGGCCTCGGGGTCGTCATGCCGATGCATGGGTTGACAGTGCTGCAGAGTGTGCTGGAAGGCAGTGCTGTGTCACAGCTGGCAGAGGTAAAGCAGTTTCACCTTCCTCCAGCCGAACACGAGAATGGCTGACTCACATTTGACCCTGTCACTTTCTGTCACTTTTGCCATCTTCAAATGTTCTCTGTAGGCCATCGCCACCCCGTTTTTGTTTGACCGTGTGTTACGTGGCTTGGAGTCAGTGCCTCGTGTTTTCCTGCATGTGGCAGCTTCCATAAGTATCTGGCCGGAAACTTCGGTCGACAGCCCAGTCATTGATGCACGCGAACACGAAATGGCAGCAGCTACTGTTTCATTGAAGTCGCCAAGTGCCCTAGGTGACATCATTTTGGATGTGCGTGCCAGGGTGCATGCAATCCTTGGCTCAGAGGTGCGCTGTAAGGGGTCTGCTATTGCATGGCCGGTGACGTGCGCAGCCCATCCACCCACCCATTTTATACACAAATCCATAACAAGCCAGCAGACATTCCGAGCTGCCCATTACCATGCTTGCTGCAAGTGCGCGGGAGCTGCTGTCCCCCACCACTCCCCCTTCCCACAAACATAATCATTCATGCACGCACTCTGGATCACGCGCTCTGGATCACACAATCCTGTTACGCAGTCACTGCCATCAGTCTCATCACCATGTTTTATGTTCACTTAATGATTCCTGCAGGTATCTGACGTGCAGCCTCTCATGGAAGCTGGTCTTGACTCATTGGCAGTGGTTGAGCTGCGCAGTGAGATATCCAACACATTTGGCCTGGAGCTGCCGGTCACCACTCTGTTCAACTACCCCACCATCACAGCCCTGGCAAACTTCATTGCAGCACAGCTTGAGTCATTGTCTGGCATGGCAGTTGATGCAGATCTAGCAACATTGGAACTCAAGGTAGTTGATGCCATTGCTGTAGAGGCAGAGATTCTGCGGATTGTGCGAGGCATGGTAGAGATGGAGATATCATCAAGCCAGCCGCTGATGGAAGCTGGGTTAGACAGCTTGGCAGCTGTTGAATTTCTACATGAGCTGGAAAAACGATTTGAGATCGACCTGCCGGCCACAGTTATGTTTGACTACCCAACAGTTGCAGCTTTAGCACAGCACACAGCTGGCATATTAGCTGCTGAGGGGGGGACACTTGCTTCTGGTGGATTGGCCACAGCCGGCAACCTGGCTGCGCCATCTCTGCCCGCACAGCAAGACACGGTTACCAACCTGGTGGGTCTGTCTTGCCGGTACCCCACCACATCGAACAGCCTCGTCAGTTTCTGGCAGGGTGCACTACAACCAGTGGACTTGCCTGAGACAGTGCCGTTGGATCGTTGGGATTTGGACCGCCTGTATGCACCACAGCCAACAAACAGCACAATGTACGCACGCTTTGGCACGTTCGTGCATGATGTCGACAAGTTTGATTGGCAGGTGGGATACCATATGCGCGGCTTGGCGATGCTGCAAATACAGGGCAGGCAGGGCCACAACTCACTATTGATATAAAGCACACGCCATGGCCCAAATGCTTGCCACATTACTGCAGATGTTCAACCTAACCAGGACTGAAACATTGGCCATTGATCCCCAGCAGCGGCTGCTGCTGGAAGAATCACATGCTTGTCTGATGGATGGTCGTCCTGCCACTGGCTCTTTATTTGGCACGGAGACAGGTACAGACTACTTGCAGTACACAGATTGCTTCAATACAAGAAGAATGATGCAGCTTCATGTGCACTTCACAAGCTGTTGCAGGCGTATATGTGGGTTGCATGTACCAAGAATACACAGATGTGTTGTCAAGTGCTGGCACGAAGTTGTCCGCAGCCGCTGCTACCGGCAACTCTCGTTCCTTCATGGTCGGCCGTATCTCCTACATCTTTGGCCTGGCAGGTGTGCTAAATCCTGGTGCAGCAGCAAATGCGAGTAACATGGTTAAAGTCGGCATCCTCTGAAGTCACCCCCACCTCCCCCACCCCCACTCCTGCCACCATTACACACACACACACACTCCCACCTTCACACACGCACACACGCGCGTGCGCGCGCCATGCACCCTGTGTTGATGCTCCCTGCTGCAGGTCCCTGCCTTAGCACAGACACTGCGTGTTCATCTTCTTTGGTGGCCACCCATCTGGCACATTACAGTCTGCTTAACCAGGAAACCGTGGCAGCGACGGCAGCTGGTGTCAATGCGATGCTATCTCCAACTACTACTGTGGGCATCTGCCAGCTGCAAGTAGGTGTCTTTCTTGCTTTTCTTTCTTGAGCGCCGCACAATGCTGCAACATGAATATGAGATTTGAGGCTGACGTGCACTATGCTGCATCGCTTGTCACTGCCTCTCTTCCACAGGCTCTGTCATCGACGGGGCGATGCAAGTCCTTTGATTCAACTGGCGATGGCTACGGTCGTGCCGAGGGCTTTGGCGTTGTTTTGCTCGCTCCACCGCACCCTGGCCAGCTTGCAGTGGCTGCAGTGCGTGGCAGTGCGATGAATCAAGATGGGCAAAGCAGTGGCCTGACTGCCCCTAATGGTCCCAGCCAGACTAAGCTGCTCCTTACGTCATTGCGGCGTGGCGGTCTAAATTCCATGAAGCTTAGGTTCATTGCAGTTCACGGCACTGGAACGCCGTTGGGCGACCCCATTGAGGTGGGAGCTATTGGCCAGGCACTTCAGAGCGGTCGTAACAAAACCGCAATGTTGACTTTGGGTTCGATCAAGTCGTGCTATGGTCACACCGAGGGCGCTGCAGGCATTACTGGCCTCCTCCTGGCAGCGCAAATGGCCAGCAGACTTTGTGTAGCACCGATCATGCATTTGCGCAACATGAACCCCTACGTGGAGGCAGCGCTTGGAGACTGGCAAAATCACAGCCACATAGCTGCCACTGTACCTCGACAGAAGCAGGGAGGAGATGAGGCAGCATTGTTGGCGGGCACCAGCTCCTTTGGCATGAGTGGGGTGAATGCACACGTGACAGTGGGATCTGTAGGCGTGGCCAGTCAGCATGCACATGCAGGCAACATAGTCCTTAAGCAGACATTTTCCAGCAGGCGGATTTGGCCTCTTCCATTAGCAAATCCCATACTGCTGAGCATTTTGCCAAAGCAGCACCAAGCAATATTCAACTGCACATTGTCGCACTCCGCTGTTCAATGCAATTGGGAACACCAGGTTGAGGCGGTGGCCTTTCTTCCAACCGCAGCCACTTTTGACCTCATGGCTGCAGCCGCCAGCTGCTTGACAGAGGCATCCAACGCCGGGCAGGCGCTGGCAGATGTCATACTGATGGTACCAATTTACTGTACATTAGAGTCGGCGGTTACATGCAGCATTCTGTTCACCAGTGGGTCGTTCCAGGTGGCGGCTGGCACTGAAGTCAGTGCTACAGCTTCAATGTGCCAGGTTGTTTCTCCATCTAGCAGCACTGGAATTGTGAAAGCGCCCACCGGCATTACAGTAGCCAAGTCAATGACAGCATGTGCGACAGAAGGCCCAACCAGCTGCATCTTTACGGCAGTTGTGGGTCAACTTGAGCATTGTGCTAACAGCCATAACCGCTGCTATGTCTACACACAAGCCGCCATCAGTTTGCCTGGCCTGCCAGTTCCTCAGACGGTCCTTGGTTGCAGGCTTTATCTGTCTGCCCCCGCGCCTGCCAGCAGCCTTCACCCAAGAGCAGCAATTGCCAGCGGACAGAACATACTGCTGGTTACAAATAATTGTCCAGCGGCATGCCAGCTGCACGGCCTCTTGTTACGGCCATTACCCGCGGTGTCGGCTAAGCGCATTGCCACACAGCGGCAGTCACCAGCTTGGCAGCTGTTGTGGCGACCAACTGAAATCCTTCCAGTGCAGCAGCGGTTCAGACCTTGCCTAATTTTAAGCACACACCCCTGTTACCTGAGCAGCCTGTGCGAATATTCCAGCCACTTGCAAGGGGGTGACGTTCTGCTGGCGGCTTTGAATGCGGTGTGGAATGAGAACAGCGGCACTGCCAACAATGCAAGCAGCTCACCGACATGTTGCTCTGAGCTGTGTCTCAGCAGTGAAGTCCACCTGGAGCTGCTACTGCACACCCTGGGGTCTCAGCAGCTGTGTTTCTTGGTACAAGAATCAGGCTCGGCCGTTGACCTTTCAGCTGCACTGGTATCCTACCGTGCAGTGGCTCGGTTGTCAACTGGGCTGCGGATTGCACTGATTACATATAATCAGCAAGTTGTTGGCAGCCTTGGGCCTAGCACAAGCTCTCAAGTTGCTTTCTTGCAAGGTGAATATCAGGACATTCCTTGCAAGTCAAAACGGCAAGAGGAGGAAGGTTTGCAAGTGATGCAGCAATGGAACAATGAAGGCACAGTGGTGTAAACTGAGCCTGTGTGTGTGTGTGTGTGTGTGTGTGTGTGTGTGTGTGTGTTTGGGGGCATCTCGCTGCATGCTACAGGGCTGGCGCGCACTCTTTTTATGGAAAATCGTTCGGCCTTTGTGACCAGCATCGATTTGCAAAAGTTTGTGCCGCCACCGCCAGTTACTACCTTGACATCTATTACTGACCAGGCATATGGGTTTGAAGTGGCATTCCGCAGCGGAAGGGTATACGCCTTGCAGTTGACACAAGGAGCAACCCCTAGAGCACGTCCATATGCTAAGATTTCAACAGCCCTGGTTTCTGGTGGCAGTAAGGTGCGCTATGCAGCGCTCCATTGAACAAGCAGCTCTCTTGTAATGAGGCTTATGTGGCTGCTGCGGGTGAATGCAAGATGCATTGCTGGAGTGGTGCCAGTGTGCAGGTCACGGTAAAGGGGGTGGTGTGTGTGTTTGAAGTGGTGGGTTAACAAGGATTGCTTGGGGAGAGGCCAGCGAGTACAATGTATATGGTCAATAATGTATACTAATTTGATACTATTGTGCAGGGACTGGGTCATGAATATTGTCAGCACCTCGTTCATCGTGGCTGTCGCATGCTTGTTTTGTCGTCCCGTGGCGGCAGCTTGTCGCTGGATGCATTTTGCAATCTTGTGGCTTCTGGATGCTCGGTGTTTGCAATCAAGGCCGACTCGCGCTGCAGACATTCAATGGGGCAAGTCTTAGGTTGGGTTAGGGAGGCACTGCCACTCATCGATCATTTTGCACATGCGGCAGGAGTGCCAGGTTTTGCAATGCTTCGAGACATGAGCACCACTGAGTTTCGAGAGATTGCAGAAGTCAAGGTGCGGACCTTTATTGGGGATCGCTGCTGCATGATTATCTCCCGGCATCCTTATGCACTGCATGTGTATGTGTGCCCCTGCTCGTGCAGACAGCAATGACATCAGCATTTCAGGAGGCCGCCCTACCGCTTCAGTCCCAGCTTGCTTTCTCCTCCACCTCTTCGGTTTGGAGCCAAACCGGTGCTGCACACTATGCGTCTGCCAATGTTTTCTTGGACATATATGCAGCACGTACTCAGCAAGCCGGCTTGCCTTGCACAGCTATTCAGTATGGTCCATTTGCAACCTCTGGCATGGCAGCTACGCACGTGGGAGGCCTGGAAGCTCTCGGTCTTAAGGGTCTTCGCCCACAACAGGTGCAGTATGCATGATGTTAAGCAGGACATTGGGGCCTGGAATGCAGCTAGTTAGCCGTTGAGCTTCTGTTTGTGATCAATGCAGATTACAGAGTCCCGCCTTGTGGCTGGCAGTGTGAGCCATATGTTGTATGCACGCATTGATGTCCTTCGCTTCTCTACAATTTACTCAGCAAAGGGCCGATGGGGCTTGCTCGATGGCCTGTTGCTGACATCTCAAGGCCGTGCACCATCACCTAGTGCAAATGACATGCCTGTTTGCACTGTGGCTGCCACAAATGGCAGCTTTGGGAGCAGCAAAGAAACAAACATTGCCCCAGTGGGCCTGCAGCAAGTGGAGCAGGCAGTCAAGGACGCAGCTAGTGACATTCTCGGGGTGGATCTGGATGGTAAGCTGGTAATTCCGGACCCAATCTTACCTCCCATGCAGTGGAAGTTGATGTGTTGTCCAGTGTAGGGGAGCTGGCAGCCGGTGGGCTTGACCCTTCGGGGCAAACTGCCACCGGTTTCCTCAACCCATGCCTACGGGCGTACTCATTCTTCCTTTCTGTCTGTCCTTTTCTTCGAGAGTAGAGGAGCTGCCCTGAGCAACAGCGTGGCGTGATTGCACTTGCAGGCACAGGCAACTTCCCTGCTGGAGGTTTCGACAGCCTCTCTGCTGTTGAGCTGTCCAGCACTCTTAGCAGCACACTTGGTGTACAACTGCCTGGCACACTGGTGTTCGATTATCCTTCTGTCCAAGCAATGGCATCATTCATACATGGCATCATGGGGACACATGGACATGCACCAGATTTGGCGGCATCATATGCCAGCATGAGGGCACAGCAACTTCCTATTTCCGCAGGATTTGGCCCGATTGATGCCCCCCATGCTTTGCACAGCAGCCGGATTGCCAGCGTAACAATGGCCAGCCGCCTCCCCATGGATCACACCGTGTGTGGTAGAGATGCTGATGGCATATGCTCGGTGCCATTTGAGCGATGGGATCTTGAGGCTCTGCGGGTACGTTCCTCTGCTACTCATGTAATTTCGCATATTTTGTCCCATGTACGATGATACAATGGACACAATTGACACCCACAGACATTCCAAGTCATGTAGAATACGTCACTTCATGCTGTGCAGATTGGCAAGTCGGTGCTCCGTACACGCTATGGAGGCTTCCTACATGGCATCGACCAGTTTGATGCATCTTTATTTGGCATCACGAGTGCAGAAGCAGAACTCATGGACCCACAGCAACGCCTGCTTTTGGAGGTGTGCTTCCACCAGGTTCCCACAGGGGTCCCTACATGCACCACATGTATCATTTGCTCTTCGACCATACCACCACCACCCCTGCAACAAGCCCCAACAAAACACACACGCATGCATGGGCCCATCCCATTCTAAGGTTTGGTCGGTTACAACATTGGCTGTTCTATACATATGCTGCAGGTGACTTGGGAGGTAGTGCGAGGCCTTGATACCAGAAGCCGCAACTCTGCACCGGAGAGCGCTGTGTATGTTGGCATTCAACAAATGGAGTATGGCAACCTCGCACGTCCCTACCTTCATACTATTGGCCCTTACTCAGGTCAGCGCATTGCAGGGCCCTGTAGATCAAATCTTCAGTGTGAAGCTGACAAATAGCACACACATTCACTTACTCATGCCCGCTCACATCTGCTAAGGTTGGCAGACCCCGTCCACCCGCACACACATGCCCTGACTTCCTGGTCTTGTCACCCCTCCATCCTGCGTGCAGCTACTGGCGGAAGCTTCTCGGTGGCGGCTGGCCGGCTGTCTTTTGTCTACGGCTTCAAAGGACCAGCAGTCAGCATCGACACTGCGTGCTCATCAGCACTGGTGGCCACTCACCATGGCATGGCTCAATTACGAAGCTTGCCACAGTGGGCCGTACTTGCAGCTGGCATCAATCTCATGCTCTCAGAGGCTACCACTGCTGCCGCTCAGTCGGCCGGTATGCTAACACAAGATGGGCGCTGCAAGACACTGGATGCTGGAGCTGATGGGTACGCGCGTGCCGAAGCCTGCACCGCCCTGATGTTAGCAGATGGCGCAGATCTGTCAAATCACATTGAGGCAGCATACCTTCAAGCAACATTTATCAATCAGGATGGGCGCAGCAGCAGTCTGACTGCACCCAATGGACCCAGCCAGCAAGCCGTGATTCGTGGTACTTTGCAAGCAGCAAGTTTGCAACCCAGGGACATAGTGGCGTTGGAAATGCATGGCACAGGTCCTTCACCCTCACTTGCATTTAATTTGTTGCAACTGCGTGCTGTTTCAAAAGAGGCCGGCCTTAGGATTTGCTGTCACGCGCCAGCTTGTGGCATGCTGTCAGCATGACAACTGACAGTGCCTGCCCCTATCTTCATGCTACTGGGTGCAGGCACAGCACTTGGGGACCCAATTGAACTTAGCGCTGCACTAGCAGTACTGCACTATGGCAGCACACCTTTGCAACTGACTACTGCCAAGTCACGCATTGGACACAGCGAGCCGGTTGCCGGAACTGTTGGAGTCACTCATGCGGCCACTATGATTGCATACAATAGCATTAGTGGTGTGATGCACTTGCAAGTTTTCAATCCTATGCTGAGCACTTTGCTTCATGGGTACATGGCGGGCAGCAGAGTGGCACATGCAAGCCGGCAGGGTAGCCCAGCGACAGTGGGCAACACTCTTAGCTCACCCTGGCAGGCAGCATGTGGGATCAGCTCCTTTGCCTTCCAGGGCACGAATGCGCATGCTATCATTGTCAAGGGGCCTGGGCAGCCAGCCACCCAGCAGTGCCGTCCAATTGAGTGGCAGCGGCGGAGATTCTGGTTCAGTACACCACCGCATGCACTTTCCAGAGCGCTGACAGGAGCTCGTCACGTACTACAGGTGCAGGGAGTACTTCAAAGCGCCAGCACAGCTTATCTTTGGGACCATCACGTGCAGGGCAGGCGGTTACTCCCTGGAGCAGCTATGTTTGAAGCAGCGCACGCAGCAGGAGCGTTGCTTCTGATTTCGGCAGCAAATGATTCTCGCAAAGCAGGCACCGCAGGCTCTGCCACACCAGCTCTGGTCAGCGTGTCGATTCCTGCCCCGCTGAGGCTGCCAGCATGCAGCGGCAGCCTCCCAAACTTTGTCATTCTAGCGGTGGCTGTAGAAGCAGCCACGGGAAGGTTGAAGCTCACCAGCAGCAGCACTCTCAGTGAGGCATCAACTCATCTTGCTGGTTCATATGCTTGCTCTGTGGAGGAAAAGGATGCCACAAGCCAGGCTGACCTAGCAGTTCACGGTCAAACAACATTCTCCCTACTATTTAGCTGCGCTGAGTGGGCCACAGCAGGAGGTTCGGCGCAGCTGCCTTCCGGCATCGCAGGCATCCAGAGGAGCAAATTTTTCTCCCAATCTGGGCAGTATCATGTGCATCCAGCAGTTACTGACAATGCAACCCAGGTCAGAACAAACACACTCCTAGATCTGGCATTTTTGCATGCACTGAGAATGGCAGATTGTTTCTTCATGAATGTGGGTTTAAGCAGTCTTCCTCTGTGCTGTTTCCTACTTCAGATTGGCTCGGCCTTCAAATCTACTGCCAGAAGTGCCATTATCCGTGTCCCGGCTGGCTTAAGCGTGTTTCACGTCGCGACTGCGGAGCACATTAGCCCACGGGCCACCTGGGCAGCCAGTGCTGCTCTCATGGGCAGTACAATACCAGACGGTGCTGTAGCATGCAGCTATCGCGTGGCGACTGAAAATGGCGAACCTAAACCCCAGCTGCACATCGGAGCGATGCTTTTCAAGCCAACCGGCAATACCCAGTCAGCAGAGGTGGCACCATCTAGCAGGAAGACAGCAGATGGGGCACACACTTTCCAGTCTGCAAAACTCATGTACGCCATACAATGGGAGGCCAGTATTCCAATAGATGCCGGGAACCCCGCAGTATGTTCCATTGTGCAGCATGGCCTCCTGTGGGAAATAGGGAACAGCAGTGGCCTGCAGCTGCCTGTGCGCGGGGCATCAAATGCGTTTGAGGCAGTGCAGAATAGTTTGAAGCTACTGCAAACTGCCATGCGTGGTAGGTCGGAAGCTGCCGTGATTGTTAACTCCCAGCTATTGACAGCTGGCACACGCAAAAGCAGCCCGGCATATGCAGCGGTTTCCGGGCTGCTCAAGGTGGCAGCACGTGAGATCACAGACCTTCACTTTGCACAGTTCACCCACGAGGCCTTTGCCGCAGCAACTGCGAAGCTGCCGGCTGAGTCCACAGATGCATTTGGCACCGCTGTGACAGGCAAGTAATAGCAATGCAGGAGATGAAAAGTACCGGCAACTAAAGAGGTATATGTTTCTAAGGCTGCATCCCATTGTGAATCTGCAGGGAATGCCTGCTCACACCCATGCATGCTTGCAATTTTTAAACAGACCGCGAAGCTACAGCACATGGAGACAGCAAGACAGACAGCACCTGGCAGTATTCTGGTCAGTGGAGGTCTGGGAGACATCGGTCAGTTGGCAGGGTGCTGGATCGCAACCTCCCATCCCCACGTTCATGTTTGGCTACTTGGGCGAAGTGGCCGTTTCACGCATCCGATGGCAGCTATGCTTTCATCACATGCTAGCTGCATTACTATGTCAGCCAGCGATATCGCAGTGACTGCCGACATGGCAGGCCTTATGCAAGGGCTAGCTGCCTCTGGGTCACAGATGGTTACTGGCATCTTGCATGCTGGCGCAGTCCTGCACGACACGCTGCTCAGCCGTCAGACAGCACAATCCCTACGAATCGTGTTTGCTCCCAAGGCATCGGGCGCACTGTGCTTGTTGCGCGTGGCGTCAGGAATGCCGCTGGATAGGGTTGTCCAATTCAGCTCTCTCACTGCACAGCTGGGCACTCCAGGCCAAAGTAACTATGCTGCCGGTAACGGTGCATTGGAGGGCATTGCACAAGACCACGTGAACAGCGGCATTCAGAACAGTAGCATCATGTGGGGCCCATGGGCGACTGGCATGGCAGGGAACAACCCCCGTATCCTGGAGAGATTCCGGAAAAGCGGGTTGGGAGTCATCACAGGTACCCACATGTCGCTCATGCACAAAAAGCTAGTTGCAGAACAGTTGCACACATTGCTAATAGCGCAAGTTAGAGCACATAGGACGTGAAATTGATGTGATGCTTGCTGCCCCTCGTTTTGGGCTTGATGCAGGCGTTACTGGCATGGCCATACTTCAGGCGGTCACGTGTAGCTTGGCACAAATGCCTGCTGTTATTGGTGCCAGCATTTTGTGGACGCAACTGTTCCGAGGGGCTCAGCAGGTTCCATCCATTTTTGCCGACTTTGTGCCAGCAAACACAAGTGGTTCACGGAACATTGCAGCCTTGCTAGACAAAGCGCGCCCCGTTGGTGATGACAACCAGGCCGTGGCATCTCCTGGGCATGCAACGGCAACCCACATTGATGTTCTCGGATTGGTGACTACCATGGTGAATGGCATGCTGGGTGCTGCAGTGCCTCCCGACCAGCCGCTCATGGAGGCAGGCCTGGACTCTCTGGGTGAGTGGAAGTCTGAGGAGCTGTCACAGGCCAAGTTGCAGAGGTTGTCAAGCGTGTTGCCAAATGCAAGGAAATGGGTCATAAATACTGTAGTAAATGTAGCACAGCATTTCTTGCAATAACTCTATTCAAAATGTACAAGTGTGTTGATGCAGGGGCTGTGGAGCTGCGGAACAGCATCTCAGATGCGCTAGGAACCGAGCTACCTGCGACTCTTACTTTTGACTACCCAACCATTTCGGCTTTGGCCGCATATCTCAACCTCAACCATGCGCCAAGTGATAACAATGCACATGAACCTGCATCTCTCCCCAATACCGTGCTTGATGCTGGTGCCATCCTAGCTGAGCTGCACAGCATTGTGAAGGGCATGCTTGGCATTGATGTAACATCTGAGCAGCCATTGATGGAAGCAGGCATCGATTCGTTAGGTAGGCAGGGTTTGCCACCCAACAGATGCGCATTCCATCCTCATTGCAACGAAAGCCTCAGTACTGATGTTTTCCTCCCTCGACTCAGGTGCTGTGGAGTTGAGCAACACTATTGCCAAGCGCTACAAGGTCGACTTGCCTGCCACTCTCGTGTTTGATCACCCATCCCTGGAAGCTATTACTTCTCATTTGACAAGCTTTCTGAAGATGTCTGACTTTGTTGACGCGTTACAAGAATCTTCGTTAAGCGACGTGCTGTTTTCCCGTCTGCTACCTCCAGCAGAAGCTTATTCGACCACAATTACAGGAATGTCTGCAACCTTCCCAGCAGATATCACAGGTAGCTATTGTTCTTGTTCATTGCACAAATGTGCATTGAGTCGCTGGCACTCCTCTGCCAGGCGATGACCCTTACTTCTCTTAAACTTTACTCCTGCAGGGATGTCCGCTTTCTGGGCTGCCGCAAATGATGGTGCCAATTTGCAGAAGGAGGTGCCCCTTGGGAGGTGGGAAATTGATGCGGGGTATCACCCATCTACAACCCCTCAAGCGATGACCATCTATGTCCGTTTTGGCGCATTTTGCTCAGGTAACAAAGTGGTACCAGTGAAAAAACATCCTAGGATTCTGTGAGATGCAATACCATGTGGCCACAGTAAGATGCATGTAGCAGGTAGCCTGAAAAGCGATATGTGCCTGCTTCAGGCGTTGACCTGTTTGATCATGGTTTGTTCAAGCTGTCACGTAACGAAGCTGCTGCAATGGATCCACAACAACGGCTGCTGCTGGAAGGGACATTAGTCTCACGGACTGAGGCAGTTTCGGTAGCGGTAGACAACCCGACTGGTGCGGAAATTCGGTTTCACTGCTCTCTTGATGGCTTGTATAGAGCACGTACATCATTGCCCCTGCTGCGTCAATCCCCTCCCCACCCGCAGGCGTGTATGCTGGCTGTATGTACAATGAGTACACCAGTGTGATTTTATCTGGTGGTCACAAGTTACCGCCACAGGCAGTGATTGGCACCGGTCTGAGTTACATGGTTGGCCGCATCTCTTACACCTTTGGCTTTACAGGTTTGGCCACACTGACACATGCATTTTCTGTCTAGTTTTCTCTCTATTTTCTTAAACTACTCGGTATCATGGTCATGCCTGATACTGACATGTAGGCCCCTGTGTGAGTACGGACACCGCCTGCTCTTCGTCCCTGGTGGCTTGCCATCTGGCACACAAGGGCTTGGTGCTTGCTGAGTGCAATGCCGCGGTGGCAGCCGGCAGCAACGTCATGCTGCTGGCAAATACCACGGCAGCCATTTGTCAGCTGCAGGTAGCAATCTCATTTGCAAAACCTGCATGGAATGTATTTTTGCAAAACAGTGTGAAGCCTACCTGTGCATCTGCTCAGGATTGTGCATAGTGAAAACTGACTTGTGGATTGTCACTGTTTCAACGCAGGCACTGTCCCCTGTGGGCCGATGCAAAACTTTTGAGGCCTCCGCAGATGGTTATGGTAGAGCAGAAGGTGTTGCAACCCTGATGCTTTGCCGACAGCAGCTTGCTCAGCTGCAGCATCCCCGCACTTCTGAGACACCCTCAGTCATTGTGCAAGGCTCCAGTGTGAACCAGGGTGGTCGCAGCAGTGGGCTCACAGCACCGAGCGGGCCCGCACAAACGGCGCTGGTGCGAACAGCGCTTGCATCAGGCAGCTTGTCTACCTCGCAGCTGTGCATGCTGAGTGTTCATGGGACGGGAACACCTTTGGGTGACCCCATTGAGGTGGGGGCTCTCAGCCTGGCGATGAGTGGCACGTCGAGCGGAGGCATTGCCGCTGTTACACTGTTGTCCAACAAGTCATGTTTTGGTCATACTGAGGGCACAGCAGGCATTACCGGTCTGTTGTTGTCTGTTGCTGCATTACACAAGCAAGCAGCGCCAGAAGTAATGCACTTGTGCAACCTCAACCCCTATGTGGCAGCAGCACTGGGTGATTGGTTGCGCACCCGTCAGCGCGCTGCCTTGAATGCGGGCGTGCGAGCGTTGTGACAGGCAGCTCCTACAACGGCCATGTGTACAAGCTCGATAATGGGCACAAGTTCCTTTGGCATGAGTGGCGTCAATGCCCACATGCTCATATCACGGGCAAGCGAGGGAACAGGCGACAACCCCCAGGTAGTAAAGCTAACCCTCCGGGGCTGCTTCAACCTTTTGATGCAACCTGGTCTTGAAGACTGCCCGGTGTTGGATGTTCCGGGAGATCGGCGTGAATGCACTAGCGGTGTTCATCAAATGATGCGACAGAAGATACAGATACTATGAAATGTTCTTTCTCATTCTTTATTTTCTACTTGATTTGCAGGTGCAAATGTCCTGGCATCGCAGCAGGCATCACATGCTTCCGCAGCCACACACCATTTTGCATAGAGTGATGAGTTTCAGGGACATGGCAATTTTCAGCTTTTTCCCTACTTTTGCGCACCTGAGCTTTCTTCGGGACTATCAGCTCCGTGGCAGTGCTTACCTGCCGCTGGGCGCCATTCTGGAAATGTCCACGGCTGTGTCCGCAAGCTGTTTAGGCGATGGCAACCTGCCAGAACATAAGCAGATGCTGTTGGATGGCACAACCGTGACTAATCTGGCTGCACTTAACGAAGAAATGAACCCGTCGGTGCCTGCCCTTTCCATGAAAGTCTGCGCCGGCCAGTTGAATGCGGCTGGCAATAATGCAGCGGGCCAGAAACAAGACTGCCTTAGCACACAAGTGAGGCTTGCCATTCCATTGTTTGCTCGCCCCGGACAGCAACGAAAGCTGGTGCCACATTCAGAAGCCAAGGTGTGTAAGGTAAGCCGGCTTGCTTTTGTATTTGCACTTGCTGACAGGTTCCCTGCATTTCTCCACACAGCTTTCTGGGATTAGTTTTGCCTGCAGGCCTTACTCCTTGGAGATCGCTGCAGCATGCCGTTAAAAGCACCGCAGATGCATGCCATGCTGGTTAGCTTGACCAGCAAGGCAGCTGATGGCTTCATCCTGCACCCAACAGTTATCCAAGCCTTAGTCATCAATTGCAGTAGCAGCAACCGCCACAGCAGTGTACCAATGGGCGTTGTTTGTTCATGCTTGCCGACAGTGCCCACACGCGCAGAAGCTGTTGTGTACAGTGCAGCCGACTCTCAGCTTGACCTTACAGCACCTGGCGTACGCCATATTTCCCACCATGCAGCATCAATGGAAGGGTTGCATTATAGCTCAGCTGCTCTCCCGGTGGAGCCGCCGTCATTCGGAGGAGCAGCATCTGATTGCATTTATGTGGTCATGTGGCAGGCAGCTGAGAGCCTTGCAGGCATTCAAGTGCCTCCTGCCCAGCCGTTGCCTTCTCTCAGGGCTAGTTCAGCAGCCCGAAGACATCAGCCTGTTGGTCCGTTGGTGATGTGTCAGGCGGCTTCGGTGGCCGCTGCGGACACAGTTCAGTTATTGCATGGCCATAGGTCTTCTACACTCAAAGACATATGTGTGTGCACGTTGGGCAGCGTTCCTATAGATCAGGGCTTCATCGCGTCCCAGCAAGCTATTAGGGCTGCCGCCATCAGTGCCGTTTTGAAGAATCTACCTTATGAGTTGCCCTCCCATAGCTCACAATTATTTGATGTGGATCCGACGGACAGGAACAGCGTGCTATCTGGAACGCTGTCATTGGGAACGCTGCGACCCAGCACTCTGCCAGAGTCTGACATGTACGGAGTGGCGGCCCGATACGGTGCTCTGTACCGTCCACTGCTCACATACACAGCATCTGGCAACAACAGCAATGTGGTGCCGAATGAGACAGAAGCAGCATCTGCAGTAAGCAAGCATAGAAGCTATGTTATCACTGGTGGATTGGGCGGCCTTGGCATGCTAACTGCTCTCTGGTTCGCACACAGCGGAGTTCGCATCGTCGTGCTCCTGAGCCGCTCTGGTCTGTCAGCAAATGCGGATGCGGCAGCCATTACTGGTTCGCTTGCGCTGATTACCACTGCCAAGTGCGACGTTTCTTTTTCTGAGGATGCACATCTTTTGGTGGCCATTGCCTGTGCACAGAACTGGCAACTTGGTGGCATTGCCCACACTGCAGGCCTGCAGGTGGGTTCTCGTCTGGTGCTCTGCTAAGCATGACTTGGCTGAACACATGGAAAGTATCAAATTCATGTTGTCACATGTTGTTAACAAGAGTCATTCCACTTGAACAACGGTGCAGAGTGAGGCACGCCTGCCACTTCAATCCCTCAGGACCATGCGTCAGGCTATTGCCCCCAAGTTGGGAGCACTTCAAAATTGCATCGATGCTGCACCTGCTGACGCAACTGCCTTCTCCCTGCTGTTTTCGTCAGTATCAAGCATTGCTGGATTGTCTGCACATGCCAATTACTCAGCAGCCAATGCCGTCCTGGATACGTTTGCCCAGGGGCAGGCTTTGGCAGGAATGGGGACTGTGGCTGTGCAATGGGGAGCATGGGCGTCTGTAGGTAACATCGAGTTTTGTTTGCATGATGGGAAGGCTGAATGAGGGGATGCTAGGAAGAAAGAGGGAAGATGGGGCTCCCCCTACAAAGAGCTTACAATTGCAGTTTTAGGCACAAATCAACACGAGCTGCGGCCTTTTCTGCAGGGATGGTACAAAACAGGCATCGCATTAGCAAGCAGCAGGCCGCCGCGCTGGGAATGCTGACCAGTGAGACAGGCTTGACTGCCATGCATGCCGTACTGGCAGGTTCGCACGGGCAACGCGCAGCTGTTGTGGGCGCCGTCAACATTGGTTATTGGCGTGCGCTGCTGGCTGGCGTGCCTCAACTGCCCCAGATGTACAAGGGGCTCGGCATGCAGCACCAGGCAGAGGGACGACCGCCGCAAGCTGCATCAAAACCTGTGCATCCAATGGCGAGTGTGTCAATGCAGCAACAGGCAGCACTAGGAGCTGCATGGTCACCTGAGACAGTTAAAGCGACAGTGATGCAAGTCATCTCGGACGTGATGGGCATTGCGGTTACCGTCCATGACCAGCCGTTGGCTCATCAAGGAATGGACTCCCTAGCTGGTCTTGAGTTGCGTCGAAAACTTCAGGCAAGAAAGTCTAGCTCTACAACTCAGGAGTTCATCATGCACAGAGTTTGTCTGTCTTGCATGTTCTGAGAAACGTGGCCACCACAACCCGGTTTTGTGCAGGAGCAGCTTGGCGTTGAGCTGATGGTGCTAATTGAGGACCCACAAACTGTGACATTTGGGTAACAAATCGTGGCTGAAGCTGCTGGCCAGCTCGCAACAACAAACTCGTCGGCAATCAGAAGCAAAGCATCTCCAAGTTCCATGTTCCTGTCCGCCACCTCTAATGCACTGCCAAAACAAGCGCAGCTTCGTCTGCAAAGGGAACCAGCGGCAACCTCATGGGTCGCGCCTGCTCCGTTTAGTGTCAAGATGCGTGTTTTCTGCCTGCCCTACGCCGGAGGGGTGTCAGAGAATGTGTATGGTCGGTGCGTGTCTTCTCGCGGACAGAATCCGAACATTGAATAAAAAATGCTACCTGCGTTCACACGCCGTTTGCTGCATATGCATGCCATTGGCAACAAATTGCCAGACCAATCACATATTGCCACCTACGCTTGAATGTTGTAGTGTCCTCATTCCACACGCTGCCCTGCATGTCTGATCGTTAACATTCTGCTGCTGATATACTGCTGCTTCAGGTGGGCTCAGATGTTGCCAGCATCTGTCCAGGTGTGCCCAGTGGAGCTGCCTGGTCGTGGCCGTCGCGAAGGCGAGCCGGCAGTCAACGATGTGCGTGAGCTTGCACGGCTCTTGGCGCGAAGCCTGCCCCTTACCGATAAACCATATGCCATATTTGGCACCTGCCTGGGGGCCATTGTGGGCTATGAAGTTGTTCGCGAAATAGAGCGCACCAATTGTGCCCCTCTTCCTTTGGTTTTTATGCCAGCAGCAGTTTCACCACCCCACCTCTATGCTCTCGTGGTGATGAAGATCTACCTGACCCGCAAGCTTGGTGAGTACCATGTCACTGTGGGCAGAAGCACAGGTGCCAAAACGATAAACACTGATAGCTGGATATTGAGCGTGTTGAGAGCATTGTTTGGTGCAGGTCGCAATGAGTCACCTCCTCTGGAGGAGGTGATGCGAATATTGCAAGGCTGGAAGGACCTGCCCAAGGAGAAGCTTCTCAAGGCCTTCGAAGCAGGCCACTTTGCGGGTGTGGAGGAGATGAAACGCAACGAACGCCTGTTTGAGCGTGTCGCGCCAATGGGCGTCAATGATATCATGATGGCGGTGCAGTACAGGTGAAGTGTTTGTGCTTGCATTTACGCTGCGTAGTTGACTCAGCGCGGTGATGGGGCCCTCAACTAAGTCATTACTTGGTTGAGATGCAATTCATTATTTGGTTGGAAATGGGAAATTACATGCAGGTACGAGGAG